TCCCATTAACCTGCTTTTAGCGACTAATCCGTCTTTCCTCTGGTGAGATTCGATTCTCTGTCTTTCCTCTTCCCTCTTCGTCGAATTCACCAGCACGCTGTAGAAATCTCTGTTCTTGCACTGGAGGATCGAGTCTCGGCTCTTCAACGGCCTCTCGTTGGACCGGATCAGCATAATGTAATCCAGATCCTCGACGGATTTGCCGAATCCGTCGACCTCCATGTCCTCGATCGCGCTCTCGCGCGTGACGAAGGCGGAGTTGTCTTGATCGGGTCGGTACTCCTCGTTCTGCTTCTGGCTCTGCGCGTTCTGCTGCTGGAGGAGGAGGTAGTCGATCGAATCGGAGGAAGCGACTCTTCCGGTGAGGTAATCGAGGAGAGGTTTCCGATCTGGTAGAGTCACCGCCGGGACGGCGTTTTTGAACGTGGATTGCATGTACTCTCCGTGTTTCAGGTGCTGATTCTTCACGTAGTGGACTAAGGCTTCGAGTGTGTAGAGAGAGCCGCTTTTCGATCTGTACGCCGTCTCCGTCGCGCAGGGAAACGAATACTCCGACCCGAATCGGTAATTGAGCCCGACCCGCTCGATTTTGTCCAGGTGGCCTTTAGTCGTGAAATCCTTCAGCACCGATAACGGATCCATCGTTGAAGCGATTGAGATTGAGATTTGATTTAGGGTTTATGCTAACGAAGCTGATTCTTGAAGAAGGAGAAGAAGAGAGAGTAAAGAGAAGAAGAGTGAGATAATAACGATGAGGTTAATTTGGTAATTTCGAAAAGTCTTAATGAGATTCCGACAAGATAAGCCCAAAACAATTAATGGGCCTTTTAAGCCTGTAAGATTTTTTGATATATATCGAATTATTTTTGTTTAAAAATTAACAATTAAACTTCCATGGAGGTACCAAAAATCTTCCTCCGGCCGTTTGATCTTTCAGACGCCGAGGACGTGCTTAAATGGGCCGGTGAAGATGACGTCACGCGTTACCTCCGATGGGCCTCCGTTAAAACGGTTGAAGAAGCCGAAGAGTATATTCTTCAAAAGGCTATACCACATCCATGGCGACGTTCCATCTGTCTCCTCGACGACGGTCGTTCTATAGGTTACGTCTCCGTCAGGCCAGATTCCGGCGACGGTATGTGCCGTGCCAACCTCGGATACGCCGTGGCCAAAGAGTTTTGGGGGCGGGGGATAGCGACGGCTGCGGTGAAGATGGCGGTGGAGCAGGCTTTCGAGAGTTTTCCGGCGGTGGTGAGGGTACAAGCGGTGGTGGAAGTGGAGAACAGAGCGTCTCAGAAGGTTTTGGAGAAAGCTGGGTTTGAGAAAGAGGGTTTGCTTAAAAAGTATGGATTATGCAATGGAGTGGTTAGAGACATGTTTTTGTATAGTTTTGTTAATTAAGAATGATTGTTCATCTAATATTTAAGTTTTAACCGAAATCATACAATAATAAAATGTTTGGTATGCGAAGAAAAAGATGTTTACGGCAACGAGTGATGGTACCTTTTGTCTACATGTTCTTATCATGTGATTCATGTCATAACTTGTTTTAAATCGTGCCATCTGAATTATGATCTATCATCTCTATATGGTGAGTTTCCATCTTTTTTCAATGCTTTCTTGTTCAATTGCATGATTGCATTCGTGAAAAGGCTGAAGAAACTATTTATGAAGATAATTTTAACGTTAGTTATTCGGAAAAACAAAAATATTACCGTGGTGGTTAATTTTTCCATATATAAGTCCACCACATAACATATTCAATTAAATTTGATGTCAGAAAAAAAAAACATATTCAATTAAATTTCAACGGTAGCTAGCCAGTACCAATCAAATTCAAAGCGAATGTTAGAGTTCGGCATTATACATTTCGGATGGATTGCATAGTTTATACATCAAAATAATTTATGATATTTTGAACGTCAAATACGAAAAGAGTGTGTGAAAGTCTTTGAGAAGTATGCAAGGAGCACGCATGCGTCTTGAACAGAAGTCTTATGCATAGTGTCGTCAAGATGATATGTTTTACATATCTTGTCCTATCAATCTTAAATGTGTCAACTTCATATTCAACCACCTCCATATTTATTATTACTAGTAAAGATTTCATCTATATATAGAGACCATCCTTAAACTATATGCAATAACTCGAATATATGCGTTTTGCTATTAGTAATTAGCGACTGGTTGTAGTTTTTATATTTTTGTGAGATTCATATTTGTATACTTATTCTTGTTCTACTGATGCGAATAAAACATCAAGAGACATCAGAAAACTGATACTAAATTGGTGATGGACACACAAACACATCACAACTTTAAATGTGTTACAGCTACAAACATACTTGTATTTTGTTGTTCTTTGTTTGTTATAACGACCAAGTAAAACCAACAAAACCACCTCTCAAAAGCATTAATATTGGTCCTATTGGTGTAACTTGAGGACATTGAGATAGAGTTAATCAAACCAATAAGTCCAATATCTCGATTCCAAATTGTATTCGTCGTGTGGTCACGACTCACGCCTCTTCCATAAACCATTATTACCTCTCTTATTTTTATTTATTTTTACTTTTCTGTGTAAAAGATAGATGATGCGACAGGGAAGCAGTGAATGCTGATGTGAGCTTATGTGGTCCCCATGGACTCCACGTGGAACCGACTCTTAGTGCTTTCAGAGGGTTATTGCTGGGGCCCATCGATAATTCTTAAAAGAGTGGGCTCCTTTTACTGACAGCAACAGAGAGATTAGATTCTGATCTCACGGACGGTCACGATGATATGATGGATTGTGTTCACGAGCCATGACACGACTCATGATGCTTCATTAGTTCTCTACTGTGACTTCGCACTATTATAGTCAAATTGATGATTATCAAGCTTTGCAAAAAAAAAACACTGCTTAAAGCCATTCATGATTTCTTGTCCCTAAACTGTGATTCGTAATTCAGTTATTTTATTAATTTTTGTTCCATCACGTTATGTAATGGAGAACACAACTTGTCTACAAGTAACAGTGTTCAAATCCGTAAAGATAATGGAAACTTTTAGGCAAATGAGGCAATGTATCATTGATTAATTTTACTAAAGAAATTGCATTATACTAACCACACAAATGGAGTCTGATTGGCATTGTATATAAAGTATTTGTTTATGGTGTAAAATTAGCGTCAACAATATTTTATGTTATATACATAAACAAGTCATGTGTACAATGTCCACCAAAAGAGATCGACAAGCCAGCGATGAAAGCAAAATGAGATCAGTTAAGATTGTGAAAATATATTCGTACGTATGATCGTATCTCATTCCATTCCGATGCTGAGTGACCAAGTCCACCCACACTCCTCCCATGCTAAACAAATTCAATATAATCATCATTCTGATTAATCAGAGTCAAGTGAAGAGGGCACACGAGTCAAGAGACATCACCAACAAAACGTACCATAAATCATTACACAAGAAAAATAATACCATGTAATGATCACATCTTATTTTATTTTCAAAGTGAAATAAAAGTTTACATGATCATCATCTCGGTTTGTCTCCCCTTGAGATAACCTCGTCATATGAGTTATTTACTCCCTCTTTCTGCTTACAGTTTGGTTTCATTTTCCTATAACTTCATAAATCTACTAAGGTTAGATACTAATATATAAAGGTGAAAAATATGAGTGTATACATTGATTTACACGAATAAGTGAGAAGTACATTGCCTATATTCTATTATTGATCTACGAACAATTCTGCTTGGAAAGCGTTTTGATTAGCACTAATACCATTTCGTGAATCCCATAGTTTATCAAATTATGAAAAGTTAATTAGTTGACAAAAAAAAAGTTTAATACTACTATATATGTTTTATATTATACATTGAACGATTTGTGATATTCGATTGATGGATTAGTCGTAACACATACGATATTAATGCAAGTAGTACATGCAACACGAGAATTGTCGACTTCTTTTTTTTTCCATAAATTTCTAAAGTTTCTTTTTCATACAATATAAATAGAAAAGAATATGGAAAGAAAACTCAAAAAGAAAAAATCCAAAAGAAATTAAAGAAAGACGAAAGGGTCAGTAGAAAACGACGTGAGTGGTTTCATTGGCACACCGAAAAACAAAAAATCATAAAATTAATTACCTAAGAATAAAAAGACAAAAACAAAATTGAATTATTTTTTAATAAATGAAAGGAATTTGGGAAGTTCCACTGCTGAAAGTGAAAAGCTTTTAGTGGTTTTTCTTCTCAGTTTCTTCACCCACTGATTTTCATTGTACCCTCTCTCCCTCTCTCTCTCTCTATATAATATCTACAAATATTAAATATTTCTGTACACAAACTTAATTAAAAATGCATGTATATATATAATGATACAGGCGTTAGTGAGTGGGTGTGTGTGTCTTTAGTGCTCTGTTTTCTGCTATGCAACTTCATGGCGATTTTTGAGGGTTTTTTAGATATGGAAGAGAATCAGTGGGGCTGTTTCAGGTCATCGAAACTATAACCCACTCACTATCCCCCAAAATATTAAAAAGCAAAAGCAAACAAATACAAACGGATCAATTTCTCTCTTTTTTCAATTTTCTTGTTCTTTGTTTGTTTCTTCTTGCTCCAATTCCAATCTCTAGCAGAACGAACGTTTTTATGTTACAGTGAGTGAGGAAGAAAGTGCGAGAAAGTCGGGAGTTACAAAATAAAAAATAAAAATCTGTTTTTTTTTAAAGAAGAAAGCTCTCTCGTCTTTTCAGTTACTTTCATTTCTTTTTTTTCTGATTTGTTTGCTTCTCTCTTTTTTCTCTACTTTTCTCTCTTTGTGGGCACTTCAATTTTCACAATCATGGAGGCAACAGAATTGCATCAATTTTGATTCTCTCTGAAAGTTTACAACTTTGATCTTTGAGGTTACTTCTTCACAATCTTAATCTATTCTCACTTTTTCCTAGACAAATTGAGCTCAAAGTTATGATTTGTGTGTGTAATTGAGCAGTGAATTATGCTGAAGAAGAGATCAAGAAGCAAGCAAGCTCTAATGGCGGATACGAACCAGAAACAGAGCAAACCGACGCCGTTTCCACGGCTCTTCACTGCTTTCAGCAGCTTCAAAAGCTTCACTGAAAACGACGCCGTCGCGAGCCCAACCTCAATTCTCGACACCAAACCTTTCTCCGTTTTGAAAAACCCATTCGGATCCGAATCCCCGAAAACCCACGAACCCGAGATGACCCGGCTCAAGCTCGAACCCAAAAGAATCGGACTCGCAATTGTCGATTCTCTCATCCAAGAAGAACCCGTTTTCTCCCGACCAAGATCCGGTCCAATCATATTCGGGTCACAGCTCCGGATCCGGGTCCCGGACTCTCCACGATCCTCGTCGGATTTCGGTACGAAAACGAGAAACTCTCCGGTTTCCCCTCCGCCGGATGAGACGAAGAAATCCGTTCCCGGGCCGGGTCTTGGGTCGCCCCGAATCATCACGGGCTATTTCTCGACTGATGACATGGAGCTGTCGGAGGACTACACGTGCGTGACTTGTCACGGGCCTAACCCGAGAACGATCCACATATTCGATAACTGTATCGTTGAGAGCCAACCCGGCGTCGTTTTCTTCCGGAGCTCTGACCCGGTTAACGAATCCGATTGTTTACCACCCGACAGCTTTCTCAGCGCCTGTTGTAACTGTAAGAAGACTCTTGGTCCTCGTGATGACATTTTCATGTACAGGTAAAATTATTCATATTTACACTTCAGTTATATGAACATATGTAATTAAATTCTTAAATAGGTAATTAAGAGTTTGTGGTGATTTAATTTCAGGGGTGATAGAGCCTTCTGTAGCAGCGAATGCAGGGCTTTGGAGATGATGTTGGAGGAAAATGACAACTAAAAATAAATGAAATAATTAAGCTTATTGAGATTTAAAAAAAAATGTTATGATGATAATGACTAAAATAAATAAGAAATATTAGTAGTATTAAGAAAATGTTAGATATAAATTTTGTTTTAGTTGCTTTTTTTTTTCTGAGAGCAGAGTTGGTTTCTGTATCCTATGTGTATTATGTGTCTACATGCATAATCATATACTTCTTTTACTTTAATTGTCACTTTAAGTTCTGTAATAATTAATAGTCCACGACTTTCATGTTTCGATCCCTGGCTAGGTCACTTTTAGTTAGGCTCAACACCAACATTATAAGTTTATAACAACACATAACCAAATTTAATATAACCATGAGTAAAGAGCCAAACAAGAACTTTCACAAGTACAAGAAATGTAAAATGCAACATATAATGATAAACAAAAAGGAAATCAAAGGTTCGCATCATACGGGTATGCGTGATCAACCAAACCAAAACATACCACAAATGAACCAACCCATTACGAAATTAATACAAGAGATACATCAAACACATTAAGTTGCATTAATTCAAGGACTCGATGTAGTGGAAGGCGGTGGAGTGAAGAACGGAATGGATGGGAAATTAGTAGGAAGAGAAGGGAATGCAGGCAAATTTGGCATTCGGAATGAAGGGATTGAAGTGGGAATGGTGGGAAGAGTTGGTTGTGGCAATGTCGATGGCAATGGAGGTAGACCCATTGCCGGGATAGGGAAATTTGGGATTTGAGGAAGAGGTTGTTGCTGGAGAAGGTGGCGTGAGGCCGAGCAAGTGTTGATCATCATAGAGGAAGAGAGACTCACCAAGAAAGCAATGAGAAAGAGCTTGTGTGATGCCATTTTGGGTGTTGTTGATGAGTCTTTAGTTATGGTTAAGCCACTCTTCAATTGCTTCTTCACTTTGCTGCTTCGTGTTGATGAGGAAATTACTGATATGCTAAATGAGTTTTTATATAGTGGTAAGAGTTTCTATGGTTTACAGACTTTACTTATAAAAAAATTATATTGCTTTTGGTAGGTGTATTTGATGGTTTTGTATGGTTGGGCTTAGGCCTTTGTTAGTTCAACTTCATGTGTTCTTTTTTTTTTCAGATTATTTGGACAACTCATGGATTTTGATTAAAGTTAGCTCAACCATCAAAACCGTTCACAACTCTAATACACGTACTACCTAATCAAACTTGGTTTGTCACATATAGAGTTGGTTGTGGCAAAGTTACATAGATTCTTTTGAAACCCCCCACACCACTTTGATAATATGGGAATGACAACATTCAGTGGCATCGGAAGAATCTGTTATTAATGTTACTTTGTTTGGGTTGCAGCGCCTTGAGTGGTTTATATATGCGGGATTGTGATGTCGCATAACGTAATTTAGAGCTTAAGGATAACTACGAAGTAATATACTAATATCTACTATCTCCATCTTCTGCTTTATGAAGACAAACTTGGTTTCAAAATTTCCCATATCCTTAATGCTAGCTTACGTTTTATGCATGATCAGTTAAAACTATCGGGTTCTAAATAGATAACTACTACGTCCATCTGATTATTGGAGGGAATACACAATCAATCCTAATCAAAACATTGGTTAGTGCAAAATTTTCTTATTATTTTGAATGGACACCATATTTTGTAAGCTTATAAGAATTGACAAATTAAGACAAACTCACTTACACACGCGTGCACGTGAATTTTATTTTTGGGTATTGCTTAACATGCGATTAACTAATCCTCACAAAAAAATAGCAACAGCTACTTTAATCAAAGAAAATGGACATTAGCTCAATTAGTAAGGCTTCTCGGCTCCGCTAATTTTGTCAAACCTTCAATCAAAGCGTCATTGAATTAGTCAAGCCACATGCACGCCTGTACAGTTTGATGCTGATCATTTATACACAATTATTTAAACTTCACTAAAAGTATAACTCGTGGAGGATAATAAATAGTAGGCGATGTTCATTTTTGTCTAATTTGGTCTATAACCCTCGCCATTCATATTTTTCTTGGGTGTCAAAAGAAATGTAACAACCTATTTTTGGTAATCTCTCCCTCAATCTAAATAGGTGTTGTTTTGTAACATATTTTTCAAAAAAGCTAAACATTAGTTGTCTCCTATATCAATTTTGGCTGTTATAACGTTTATGGCTTTGAGACTTTGAGTACTAAAGGATAATGAGTGAAGCCATGGGCTCGAAGGCTGGGATAGACCTTGCAGGTGTATGGTGATGGGAAAACATTCTGTCGTAGGTGAGAGCCAGCATTGTAATTCAGTTTTCCGATTTTTGGTGATAACAAAGTTGACGATATGCATGATATTCTTTGAAATGTCATTGTATCCAGTAGCTAGTGTACTATTTAAAAAAATTATAAACACCGTAGCTAATTTTTCTGATTAGACATTTTGATCGGCCGCCACATGTAATGATGTAACCGAAAACAAAATAGCATATGTATTTACCATTTTTATAAAGATATCACACAGTTATAATCTTAGCATTTTAGGACACACTGACACACATGAGTGAGACATGTGATGGGTAGGAAAAGCACCCCCACTTCGTTGCAATGGGAGAGATATTAAACCCAACAAACATATATTAGACAGAGAGAATTTTTGTTCTTGTATCCACCAATCAATTTTTCTACTTATAACGATTTTGTTATTATGTCTCAAGATTTTACTTAGCTAGACAACAAAATATCAAAAATATGAATTTATATATTCCCCCCTTGTAGAGTTCATTGGTGATATTTTTTATTTAGTTGTGTTTATTTCATAGGCATCCCACATGCAAATAGGTATGGCCCCTTACTACAAACATTGTTGGTCTTACATGCACACATGCATGGCAACTATTGCTGATTCTTGTTGTTTCATTCACAAGATTCATATCGCTTATAATTGGTTGTGATTCATGCATGGTACCAACATTTTCATTTTTTTTTAACATTTTGATATAATTATGCAAGAGGAGGGGGTATATTAATTTTTCAAATATCCATTACAAGATCGTTCTATATACATGAGTGTGGATCGATGTCCACCAAATTCGGATGAGGAGAATATTGATGGACATATTGTTCAACACCTAAAAATGATTTTCTACAAGAAATGACATGTAACGATCCCATTAATCAAAAACTGAGGCCATGAATGTTTCAGTGGTTTTTAGTTTTTGGTTTTTGGTTTTTAGCTTTTGGTTTTAGATTTTAGATTTTGGTTTCTGATTTTTTTTGGTTTTTAATTTTGCAGTAGATTTTGGTTTTTCTAAAGCTTGATAGGTGATTTGTTTTAGTTTCTAGTTTTTCCTATAATATTTTTTTTAAACGACTTCTAAGTTAGATATTTCTGCAAAAATAAAAATAAAAATAATTAAGAAAATAAAATAATCGTGGATTGATGGAAAAAACTAGTAAAACATGGATTTTAGTTTTTACTTGCAAATTGGCAGTTTTTAGCAAAAACTAGTTTCCCTTAGTTATAGGGAATCTATTTGCTCAAAATCTTGATTGGGTTATAAAATAGTTTTTGGAGAAACAAAATCCAAAATCTAGTTTAAAAACTGCAAACAATCCAAAATCTAGTTTTTGGAGGCCTTGGATTTAGGGAAATTCAAAGCTTTAATGATGCATTACTTGCTAAGATCAGTTGGAGGATACTCAACAATCCAACATGTCTCCTAGCCCGAATCCTAAAAGGAAAGTATTGCAGAACAGAGAATTTTCTCACTGTTCATGTCACTTCCTCCACCTCACACGGATGGCGTGGAATCCTTATAGGCAGAGACCTTCTCAACCAACAACTAAGCAAGGATGTTGGTAATGGAAGCCACACCTCGCTGTGGAATGACCCCTGGCTCTCGCTGAAAACCCCAACCCGACCAACGGGACCACCAAACCTACATGAAAAAGACATTCTGGTCTCAGACCTCATCTTACATCACACTCGCCAATGGAACAGAGAGATGATCGAAAAGCTCTTACCCCATCATCTCAACGATATCCTCTCCATCCGACCAAGCATGACAAGGGCAAGAGATTCTTATATCTGGATCCCCACCAAATCAGGAGCCTACTCGGTGAAAACGGGCTATCACATCGCTCTGGAATCCTCCAAAGGACCTGCACAAGACACAATCACACTCATCAACTGGAATGCTGAGGTATGGCATGGAAAGTTCTCACCAAAAATGAAAGTCTTCCTTTGGAAAATTTTATAGGGAGCTATACCTTTAGGTGAGAAACTTCTCAATCGTGGCCTACTCGATAATGCCTGTTGCGTTCACTGCGGCGAGCTTGAAACCACCAAGCATATCTTCCTCCAATGCCCTTTTGCCCAACAAGTTTGGTCCCAGGGACCGTTTAAGAACACCATCGACCCCCACACGTTCCCAACCTTCTCTACATCCCTCATCGCCTCAAAGGAATGGATTTGTCTCCCACCAACAGGCATTGGATCAGGACCCCTATTCCCATGGATCTGCTGGGCCATTTGGTCTTCAAGAAATTATCTTATCTTCGAAGAAAGAGTGTTCTCCCCGGAAGAGACAATGACCAAGGCGATCTCGGAAGCCAAGGAATGGCAATCGGCGCAGCTAAGAGACACGAGGACCCGAATCAGTCCACACACACCAAACCCACCACCCAACAACCCAAACAAAACCATCTATTTGATCACCTTGTTGGTTCGTGGTGCAAAAAAACAAAGACCGGCGGGATGGGTTGGATCCTCCTCGACGGAGCCGGATCGGAAGTATCACGGGGCCATGCGACCGAACGCCGAATCACATCGGCCCTGATGGCGGAAGCTCTGGCCATCCGATCGGCCCTAAACCACGCTCTAGAATTGGGGATCACTGACCTCCAAATTAACTCAGACGCTCTGGATCTCATCCGAGTCATATCAACGCAGGAGCAACTCAAGGAAATCTATGAGATTCTCTTTGACATCCATGCTCTTGCCTCTATGTTCTCTTCAATCTCCTTTTCTTACATTCCCAGATCTGAGAATAAGATTGCGGATGAAATTGCAAAGAGCGCAAACAGACTCATCTCGATTATCGGTTTGGTTTTTGAGAACGAGATTGTAACCGGTTAACGTTGTTTGGTTTAATATAAATGTTGTTCAAAAAAAAAAAAAAAAAAAATCAAGACCTGATTTTTGAATAATAATGTAATTTGTTCGACTTTACTAGATCATCATTTCCTATATCAGCCAAAGCTATAATCATTTGCAACATTTTCATTTCTTTAATCATTTTATTTTCTTCAATAATTGAGACTGAGATTATTTTTTGGATAATATATGAAGAAAACACACAACTTGGTAAGGCAGTCTAGGCTACCAACTATATTAAATATAGTGGATGATAACCATTATATGACTCAAAGTTGAGTGGTTGCTTGAATGCGTCAAGTTTGAATTAGGTTTAATTAGTCAACTGAACACTAATGATGTTCCTAATTATGAACTGATTAAAAGCTTGGGGCCAATTCAGAATAAAGAGAATCTTATGGCAGATACTCCAAATCCAACCAAGTTGATTTCTGTTGCCACTACAACCAATCCCATTATATATTGATTTGATTATCTATCCAACTCTTCTCAAAAGAAAAAGAAAAAAAACGCTTCTCATCAATAATTTTTATGTGCATTTGACTGAGTTTATATATTTAACCTCAAATTATACTTACTAGTTATAAGTTATAACCACTAGTATTAGTACGTTTATGGCGAGCATAAAAGCTAAATATACCCACACTTTTTTTTTTTAACTTTTACACCTTAATCCTCATTAGTTACGGGACCTATGTCCCTTAGATTAAAATTCATACTACTTTATATTGTGGTGTTCAAGTGTAGAATCATCCAGAATCGAGTTTATATATTAGCGTGGATTAATCAAATGATCAATACAACAAGTTGGTAATGCTTACAGAGTTACATCCGTGTTTCCTACGTAAATAGTAAAACATGAGAAAAATATGTAAAGTTGAAGTTAAATAATGATGAACTAACTTTTTAATGAGTCAACTGTGGATAATGCTCGAGGCCTTAACTAGCTATTTTAAGTATACTTTGTAAATCAACATTCTAATATTTTTCATGCGTGTGAATCAAGACTCCTAGGACGATATGATTATGTAAACTGAAATTAAATCGGTGACATGATTGAGAATAAACCGAAACCAAACCAACACTAGCATATACTGCTATGTCCATCCTCATAATTATTGGTGGCATACTTTTCCTTCAAGTGATGTAAGAGCATATATATCATCATTAACAAAAAAAAAAGCAGTGAAAAGGAAAGAAAGAAAAGTCTAAGCATGGAGAATAAAATGATTACATAGTGCAAATGGTGCAAAATCTAATCTTATGATTTATAATTTTATGCAAAAAAAATCCTTTGTGTCAAAACCTTAGAAGTTTGTGCATGCAAAGAAAGTCTATCACCAGCTTTGACTAATAAAACACATTATTGTTGGCAAAGGAAAAAAATAAGACAGACATTTGATCTCGTTTTGTTCTTTTATATATCGTATTATAGGTGTTTGCACGAATATTAACGAAAATCTTATACACGGCGAAGCCTAGCTATCGACGCATATAATGGGTATAGCATGCTTTGAAACTTTTAAGAAACTATATAAAAACAACAAAAACGGTTGCACATGCATACTTTTGATTTTAGAGCCTAAATTTAGTCAAAAACATCGACCATAATAATGGTAATATGATTTAGAAAAGCAGTCAATGGACTATCAGCATTATTGCAAGACAATATGGGAAGTAACGCTCATGCTCATGTTTGGTAACTCTTTTTGTTGAACACAAAATTTTATAGTTTGTTAGGGACAAAACTGTTCAAGTTGTTTCTTAAATACTGTTGTATGTTGTTTGTTTTCTATGGAAAATTGGAAGTATGGTATTTTATTTGCATATATGTAGTATCGCCTAAAAATATATTTATCCTTTTTTACGAAGCCCACTTGACATAGAACCTAAGAATCTTCAACAAACCCATTTGACATGGATTAATTAATCAATCAGACAATAGTACAATACCCAGGTAAACAATATATTAATGTTAGCATGCAAACTGATAAAATGTACATGTGATGTGTGTATGATGCATATTTTCCCAAGTAATAATGCTTAATGCTCATGCTCATGTTTGGCAAGCCAAGTGAGACTTTGGTTTGGCCCCACATTTAAAAAAAAAATATATATATATGCATTGATTTTTGTCCAAAAAAAAAAAAACGGTTTTGGCTCAAAAATTCATCAAAATCCTACTAAATTATTCTGACCTCCGGTTTTTGGCCATGTGGCAAATCTAGACACATTTTTGTTTAAAAACTCTGAAAAGTAGTCACAAGAGAAGTCAAGCAACTGTCGAGGAAGACATGACAAATAGGGTAACTGAAATTAACTAACCAACCAAATATTGCATTTAATTTCTCTTTTTCTTTCTTTAGTTTATCAATTACAACAAAGCTGTAACTGCCCGCAGAGTTTATGACTTTATGCCTCGAGGGTATTACAACAAAATTGATTATTTTTTTCTACTTCCAAGACAAACCGTTAACTGCAGACCATCTTTTGTATTATTTTTTTATACTCATCACACAGTTTAATTTAAGACTATAAATGGTTTAACCTCAAAGATATACTAGTATACATTAGGTTCGTACGTCTTTAGGCTTTCAAATCATGATAGATTCGGAAAAGTGTGATAAAATAGGCAGATTAAACTTATCTAACTATTCTTTGATATAGTAATGATGCTACTGCATTATTAGCTTTTGGCACATCTTTTCTTTGTGTGGCTAGAATACTCATAGCCGTGAGTTATTGTTCCTTTTCTTGGGGACGAGTGTGTTTGGATCTTTAACTCGGCTCCTTTCTTGAATAATAGAGATGAAACAAGAAGAAGATAAGTAATGCATTTATTATACTTTTCATGTATTGTGCTGTTTATATACATATAGATAAATGTAAGATTCATATATGTATGTGGATATATAGCAATTTTGGGAGGAGATTGAGAGAAGTGTGCTATCTAATTGGGTAGGTTAGGGACCCTCCTAAACCCAACCACCTTTGTCTCTATTTCCACCTTCCCATGTCCCTTAGAACATGGAGCAAATTATGGCAACTCCTCTCTACCCTCCCTCTTTTCATTTTAATTTCTTTATAATCTTCGTTATATTTACATATTTATTCACCCTGGTGATGACTACATTATATTTATCAACCAATAATAATACTCATAATTAACAAAAAGAGAAAAATATATAGAAAGACAAATTGTAAATTGCAACCGCAATTGATTAAAAAAAGTAAAGTAAAAAACCAACCAACCATAGAGTAAACCTACTAAATTTGCATCTTATAGTGAATACATGTTTGATAAACCTACTAAATTTGTACCAAAACATGTATTCACGACGAGATGCAACTTCATATTGGCAGAATTGAAACGTTTTAGAAAATAGCGGTTTGGTGGAATATTCTGCCAAACACACAAAATATAATTATCTTTTGGTCTGCCAAAACACCAATATATAAAGAGAAAAATATAAACGCTGGTCGGCTACTTTTTAACTAGTTTACTCTTGAAACTCAAAAACAACAAAAAAAAAAAGCCCATAGATTTGGTTTTTCGCGAAATAGTTTACTCTCTATTTCCATTTAAACAACCATAATGTGAAAACATGGCTACGTAATTGGCTACTGAGCCCGCGATTACTTTCTCTGACAATAACGGTGATTCATTAGAAATATAAAGAGAGAGATTCAATGATTCGTAACATAAGCATTAACTAATAAAAATTCAATGTAACGGTAAGACTATTACTATATTTGCCCAATCATATACGTCGCTCTAGATTATAATAAAATAGTATAATATTAATTGTTGAAAAGTGTTGAGAGCCGGCCAAAAAAATCCAACATATAAAGCAATAAACTTTGATGCTTTCAACACACACAACACAAAAACCATTATCCATCAACCAAACAAAAAAAAAACAGTTTTATTGTTTGTTATTGAAGCTATAAGCTCTTTTTTGGGTGAAAATGGAGATCGAATCTGTGAGATGTGAGTGTTGCGGTTTAATGGAAGATTGCACACAAGACTACATTCGTGAGGTCAAATCTAACTTCGACAACAAATGGCTCTGTGGTCTCTGCTCTGAGGCCGTGAGAGACGAAGTGATTCGCCGGAAGATGAAGACCGTTGATGAAGCTGTTAGAGCCCACGTGTCGTTTTGTGGTAAGTTTAAAGACAATCCGGCGGTTAATGTCGCCGACGGCATGAGGCAGATGCTAAGGAGGAGATCCGGTGACATGACTCCCTCTGCCTCCAAGAAGTTCGGTTGATCTAACTCCACCAAGCTGTACTAATCATCTTTTTTCGCTAATTACATAATGTATGATATTTTATGCTGTTTTTTGTTTGTTTAATGTTATAAATGATGGTCGGTGATGTTATAACTAATAACTGATTATATTTAGACTTGCCAAATTATTTCCACCTAGTTTGATCTCTAAAGACATTGATTAAGCTATTAACAATTTGGCTAAATAGATCCATGAGGAAACCGAAATGCCTAATCTTGGAGTCATTGCAAATATTTTTTTTGAGCTCAACATATATAATGCAAACGTTTTTTTTTTTCTTTTTCTTTTCTGGTTGAGATCATAATCACTTCAGGTCTGAAACCAAAACATGTTAAGTTAGTTCCTCTTGATGTTACCAGACACCAGTAACTAATGTCTTGCCTCATGACTGACTTCGATACTGACCATAATGGGCTTTGGCTTTATACTAAACTAATGTCTCATATAAATAATCACAAATTCTAGTATTCTACTGAGCTCATCAATTAGAATTTAGAAGCCCGAGAACTCTGCCTAAATTGGATCCATAGATTTGTAACATTTGTTCAATCCCGAAAAAATACTCCAAATTTATAACCAAATATTGAGAAATTGGTTGGCATAAAACCAAAATCAAATTTATGTGGCCAAACAGAGAATCGAATGGATACTAACAATATATGACAGGAAAAGAGAGTCACTTTGGTTCATTAAAAAAACAAAGCAAAATACTCTTTCAATAAGAAATTTCGTTTGAGTGTCTTTTTCGCAATTGATTGCCAAACATTTTTGTGTCTCTGTCTCCCGTGTACGTATGCATTACATTAGATTCACCATACTAATTTAATAATTCACGTTGTACTCTGAAAATTTGCATAGCTTTTATTTAACTCTAATTAAACACATTCATGTGGTACTTTTCATTCAATAGGAGGCCATTTAAAGGAGTAAAAGTTCATTAATTGTTACAAATAACCGTGGTTTGTAATCAGTTACTAAACTCATTATAAACATTCAAAGAACATCTAATCAGACTTGTATATTTGAAACTTACTAAGACACAAATCGGTTTTCAATATGTACAACTAAACCACATTAAACCGACTCTTAACTTTTATCGTAAACAAAGGGTATTTCAGTAAATGAAGGAACGCCCTTATCTCATTTCCGATCCTCTTTCTGGCTGCCGCCATTCGCACCCATTCATAAAAAAAGGAAGAAAGACGCAATCTTTTCTCTGTCTCTTCCATTCTTCAAATCTCATAATCGCAAAAATTCGATCTTTTGATCAAACAATTAAAAAATTTCGGTTATAGAGATTTTGTTTTTGAGTGGCTTCTCGTTCAGTTTTTCTTTTATGGTTTTGATTCTCTCAAACCGATCGGTAATCTCATATCTTCTGTTCCTGAATTTGATCCAATCGCGCTTTATCATCACTCTAACGATCGAGAAACCCGATCCGGAAGCCATGAGAGTCCACCCAATTCTTAACAACAACGCCTTGATCCACCATCACCATCGTAACCCGACCCGAGAACCCGGAAAGAATCTCCGTCGTCTACCGCACATCTTCAACCGCGTCCTTGAGCTGCCATTGAGGTCGGAAGCCGACGTGGCGGTGGAAGAGAAATCCGACTGTTTCAGATTCACGGCGGAGACGGACGGACTCTGCGACGACGGAGAAATGAGGGCTTACATGGTGGAGATCCATCCGGGTATAACCAAAATCGTTGTGAGGACAAACGGGTCGTCTTTGGGTTTGTCGTTGGACGAGTTAGAGCTCGACGTGTGGCGTTTTAGGTTGCCGGAATCTACTCGGCCTGAGCTTGTTACTGTGGATTGCGTTGAAGGAGCTTTGATTGTGATGGTGCCTAAGATTGCAGAGGAAGAAGGTGGAGACTTTGGACAAGGTATGGGTAGTGGGAGGCTAGTTCTTGTTCAGTAGTGAAACAAAAATTTGTGTAATTGATGTTCTAAAATATGAAATGTTTATGATTCATGAAAACGTGATGGATCAAATGTTGTAGCCTTCTCTTTTTTTGTTGGCGATTTGGATTAAACAAATAATAAAGGTTGAGACTTTGGTCAAACAAAAGTTGATCATATAAACAGAGCAAAATAGCTTCATAAAAGGTTGAGACTTTGATCAAATAAAGGTTGAGTTTGATCAAATAAACAGAGCAAAATAGATTCGTAAAGGTTAAGAGTTTGATCAAATAAACAGAGCAAAGTAGCTTCATAAAGGTTTGAGACTTTGATCAAATAAACAGATCAAAATAGCTTCATCGGCTATCAAAAGTTGACACTTTGATCAAATAAACAGAGCAAACTAGCTTTATAAAGGTTGAGACTTTGATCGAATAAAGCCATAAAGGTTGAGTTTGATCAAATAAACAGAGCAAAATAGCTTCATAAAGGTCGAGACTTTGATCAAATAAACAGAGTAAAATAGCTTCATAAAGGTCAAGACTTTGATCAAATAAACAGAGCAAAATAGCTTCATCGGCTACCAAAAGTTTCCACAGTACATTAATATCGAAGCAGAGAGCCTAACAGAGGTTTTTCAAGAGGTAAAGCTACATGACACAACAAGATTTAGCTCTAAAGGTAAAGCTAGTTAAAAAGGACAGATTTTTTTAGAGGAAGAAGCCTTGGAGAGCACTGAATTTAGAGAGGATCTCAGCTTCACGCTTAAGAGCATTATCCTTCTTACATTCCCAATCCGGCTTCTTCGAATTAGCTAACTGAACTTCCTGTACAACTTTCGGAATCGAATTCGCCACCATTTTCTGTCCATAGCTCAGATCAACCTTCTCCTTCTCCTTGCTCCCTATGTACCGCTTCAGCTCAGCTCTCCTCGCTTGAAGCTGAGCGATCTGCTCATCGATCTGACGAATAGTCTCCGAGTTCGCATCAACTTCCATCTGGATATCACCAAGCTTGTGCTTCAAATCACTGTATTCATACTTCAGCGACGCTACTTTAGCTTTGTTAAGCTCCAACGCAGAGAAGAACCTATCAGCTTCTTCAATCACTCCTTTGTTCTCCTTGAACACTTCGCTGAAACTCGGAATCTCTTCTATCAGCTTCAACCTCACAATCTCCTCAGCGGAGAGGTTTGGATCTTTCCTAAGCTTAGTCGCCAATGCAGCTATCTCCGCAGCGTCCTTGGAGACGAACAGAGTCGGGAGATCAATCTCAAGAAGAGACGAGATCTTCATTCTTGCTTCAGCCCATTCGTATTCTCTCATCGGAGAGCTGAGACTAACAACAGCAGAGGACTCTCCACTCCCAGGTGCAGCATCTTCCGGAGCTTGGTGAAGAAGGTCTTCAAGAGAGTTCAAGTAAGTGTCAAACTCTATAGGATCAACATCCACAGGCGAGTGAGAGACAGCAAGAACACCGTTCATGGGAGAGACGTAGATATGAGGAATCGAAGCATCCTCTTCCTCCGCAAAGTTAACTCTGCGTTTCTTCTTCCTCCCTGGTCCAGTAGTTGCAGCAGGAGGTTGTTCACCTTCCTTCTCCTCTTGGTAGTTCAAATCCACAGCTCCTCCTCCTCTCGAGGAGGTGCGTCTTGTGGACTGCCGAGATGATTTCGGCTGTGGTACAGTTGCAGGAGTCGCTCCTTTCTTCTTCTTGCCGCCACCTCGTGGAGTTGCTGCTTTGGCTTTAGGTTTCTCTTCAACAAGAGATTCATAAGTCGGCATTGGATTCCTCTTCCGCTGGCTGTACCGGGAATTCCCTTCTGCCGCCGCCGCCTCCACTTCTTTCGGTGTCTCCTCAAAGAGAGACGCAGCATCAACTAACCAAAAAGCAAAAGGAAGCATCTTTACCATTTACTAAGACCACATGGTTGTAAAAATCTTAACTTTGTCTTTGCAAAGTTTGTACCTTTGTGTGCATTCTGGAAGAGAGCTGGGACTTTCCAGCTAAAGGAAGCGAAGAAGGCGTCGCGGTCCATGGCGGGGAAGTTGGCTTCGATGTAACGAGCGAGAGTGTTCTTGCTAGCGAAAGACTTTGGTACATTCTTCTGATGAAGTCTCTGAGGGAGAATGAGAAACCTGTCTTGATGAAAGCCAGTAGCGGTTATTCTTCTACCGACTCTCCATGTCCATACATCGCCGGGGCTTGGCCAGTCGACGGGAGCGTAGGGGAGACCTTGGCCGGATGAGACGGGAGGGATTGCGGGAAGTTGGTTGAGGTCGGTTTCTCCGTGAGTGAAGGAGCTGTTGTTGTCTATGCTTCTCTTTCCGTTTTCCTTGGCCGCCGGCGGTGGTTCTGGAGCTTCTTTATCAATGGCTTCTTCTCTGTTGAAACCGTTCTCCCAGAAGTCGTCCTTCTCTTGCTGTGTGGTGTGGAGTGGGTCTGATTCTTCTTCTTCTCTGTAAGTTGAGAGTGGTACAGGTTGTGTTTCTTGGTATGTACTCATTGGTTCTGGTTCGGTATCAAACCTGTGAAATGAAGAAAATTAGCACTACACAATGGTTCCACTACACAACTGATCCTCTAAGATCAAGAAATGTTGGTTCTTAGGTCAGAGTTATGAAAGATGTTTGCTTTACATTACAATCAAAGTCTAAAATGGGGAATTTGGTCTCAGTGTCAGACATAATTCAATGTAAAACAGAGCAAAGATTCACATAGAGGATAACAAACAAAACAAACTCAAAAGCAAAACAGATCAAAAGTGTTACAATTATCAATGGAAAAAATGGAAACAAATGAGTACTTTGAGAAGCTACAAAATCGATACTCTAAGCTCAAGAAATGTTAATTCTTAGGTCAGAGTTTTGAAAGATGTTTGCTTTACATTACAACTAAAGTCTAAAATGGGGAATTTGGTAATCATTCTCTGGCATAATTGAGCATAACATTCTTTAGTTGTTCAAGGAAACAGAGCAAAGACTCACATACAGGATAACGAACAAAACAAACTCAAAAGCAAAACAGATCAAAAGTGTTACAATTGTGACTGGATTGTTGAGAAAGAAATTACCCAGGAGGATTTTGACCGATCTCTTGATGCATACCAGCCGGAGAATAATACGGAGAAGACATGCCCACTCAAGCCCTAATTTCCTGCTGAGAGAGAAACAACAACCCTAAGTAAAGCAAAAGTGAGAACTCGGAATGGAAATGAAGGATTTAGAAATTTGTGAGATTCAGAAGAAGAAACGTACGATTCTAGAGGCGGATCTAAAAGCTTTTTTCAATCTATCTTCTCGTTTTACCTCTGATTTTAATTTCTTTTAACTCTGAAGATGTGTGAGGTTAGTCTTTTCCTCAGCTGAAGTGCAACGAAAAAGCAATTTGTTGAATTGACTATTATGCCCTTCATTTGGTTCTGTCCCTTAATAATCTCTTTTTGTTTTTTATGATGAAATCGACGTCATCTTATCGGTCAACTTTTTAACTTTAACTGATTTACCGTATCCGTCACGTGAATTAGTCAGTCAGTCATTCATTTGTAGTTTTGTACTATCTACATACTTTTCTACTGTCAAGAGAGACTCAAGACAACATTCTCTCTTTTTATTCTGTCCAAAGAAAAAACTGGAAAGAATCTTTACAGCTTTACAGTTTGAGAGTTTTAGAGCATTTTACTGAATATGGGTCGGTACGGGTGAAAGTGGATGAGTCAGCATTTAGCAGAAGTTTGATTAGCCATTGGCCACTTTTTCTCCCAGTCAAATGATAGATTCAAAACTGGTTGTTCTTTTAATTTCTTATAGTATGTTTCCAGATTTTTAATTTAAGTGAGATTCACAAAACAAACTTTTGAGATTTATCTACACATAGAAAATATCTAAAAACTATAGTCAAACACACCTTCAGTCACTAGGAATGTAAATAATCAAATTGCCAAAACCTTTTAGGCAAAAATCATGATGGGAGTATCTCACCGGTTAATATGAAACTACATCATGATACCTATTAGTCACATATGGTTCTGCGGAAATTTTCATATTCTCTTTGTATCATACACAATTATCAGTTAATAACTACAAAACGGACGATCAAATTGTCCACGTTAAAATGATCTAAACCGTTTAAGCCACGCAAATGACTCCCACGAAAATGTTGGCTTAATGGCTCTCACGCAAATGTTCTTCATGGAGTATCATCAATTGTTCAGCTACCTAATTACAAGTCACACGATGCTCATTAGTTTAGTTTACAAGTAAGATCGTTACATTGTAATGTAAATATAATTATTATTATAAATGAAACAGTAAGTACTTCTTCAATGCTGCCATCTTCCATCTCGGTGTTGAAAGAAAGAAGCAAGCTTTCATGTAGAAAATGCTCTATCTCTTCCACCGTAATCACTGCTCATGATCATCATTATCCAAATCAATATCTATTGATCTTAAGAAATTCAAAAAGAAGGGAAAATTAAGCAAATCTAACCATTTGAATGAGAGAAGAGATGAAAAAGGTGATGAGCAAGCTCGTGAAATTTCTTGAGAGAATCGTGGCCTCCCCACTGATTCTTCACGGCCATCTGAAGCCCGCCCCACCGCGAAAGAAGCTCTCCGATGTCTCTCCTGAGGAGATCAGAGTCGTCGTCGGCCGTAGGACGCACGTTCTTGTGATGCCACGTGGGGGAGATCACGTGAGCGTTGGATATTTTCCCACCGGTTCCCATATCTTTGGCCGGAGAAAACAAAACAAAAGTTTCGATCTCTTTCCGGCCACAGACAACGGTTCTTCCGCCTTGTTACTCCGTCAGACGGAGAACGGAAGGAGGAAGATTTTGCGTATGGGAACACAGAGAGAACAAGACAAAGACAAGAAACGTGTAATGAAATGTTGTGTCTCTTCAATTGTATTCTAAAATGGGAAAGACCAAAAAAGGAGAGATTAAAAAAGCGACAAACAAGGATCTAGAGAGAGAGATAAAAGTCTCTGACTTTACCAGACACCAACAAAGATTTGTTACTTTGACTTGGGTGTGGTGACTTCTGTTCCAACCTTTTTCTTGTTGTTGTTTTGTCTTAAATTGGAAGTAACGTGTCCAATGTTTTAGGAACACACTTGTTTAGTGTAGGAAATATTATGCTTTTATTTGTTACATTTAATATCTCAATCGGAGGCTCTCTCATCATTGTATTAACTTGGGAACTAAACACGTGTGTCCTAATCACGTCATTGACAAGTGTCAAAACCTCATGACGTTGGTCCCACACATTGTGTATCTCTCTTTATACTCCATCGCTCTAGGAGTTGTTGTAACACACAACAGAACATAACAGAACAGAAATAGAGATGAGCCAACAAGAGCAACCAAGTAGGCCACAAGAGCCAGTGAAATACGGAGATGTTTTCGAAGTCACCGGTGAGCTCGCCGATAAGCCCATAGCGCCTGAAGATGCGAACATGATGCAAGCAGCGGAGACACGTGTCTTCGGACACACTCAGAAAGGCGGTGCGGCCGCCGCCATGCAGTCTGCAGCCACCGCCAACAAACGCGGTGGTTTCGTCCACCCAGGAGACGCAACCGACCTCGCCGTGGAACGAGGTGTCACCGTGGCGCAAACTGAGGTCCCCGGTGCACGTGTCACAACAGAATTCGTCGGTGGACAGGTCACTCAAAACTCATCTCCAAAATGAATTTGTTTCCTTTATATAATCACTTTCTCTTGTGACGTTGAAGATTGGTTTGTCACAGGTCGTTGGACAATACGTTGAGCCGAGACCAGTGGGAGTGGCGGCAGCGACGGACGCAGAAGCGTTGGGATTGAATCTGCAAAGTGCGATAACAATAGGAGAAGCATTGGAAGCAGCTACGCAAACCGCCGGAAACAAACCGGTTGATCAGAGCGATGCAGCAGCGATTCAAGCAGCGGAGGTTAGAGCTTCCGGCACCAACGTCATCGCTCCCGGTGGAATCGCCGCTTCAGCTCAATCCGCAGCTGTACACAACGCTAATGTTAACCGCGACGAGGACAAAATCAAACTCGTCGATGTTTTGGCGGTTAATCCCCAACTTAAAAACACTTTGAATCACTGATGTTTTCTAGTTACCTTAAACAGTGTCCTAAAATGTTCTGGAATCCGAATGGAATATCAGGGGGCGACGGGGAAGTTACCGGCGGATAAAGCTGTGACGAGAGGGGATGCGGAGGGAGTGGTGAGCGCCGAGCTGAGAAACAACCCTAACTTGTCTACTCATCCTGGTGGCGTGGCCGCTTCTGTTACCGCCGCCGCTAGGCTTAACGAGAGAGCCGATATATGACAAATCCGCCGAGAGGAATATAGTTCTTTAGTAGCTTTGTGTCAGCTTTGTTTAAGTGTAAGCTTTGCTTTTGCTTCGGTCTTGTTCAAAAAAACGCTCAAAGATAAATGTTAAAAGCCTTTCTTTAGCTGCTGATTGATTCATGATATTAAGTAATCATAACACAAAAGTGATCTATAAATGACAATTCTCTCCAGTCTACTGATTTTGTAACATTTTCAAAACGTTAAGGTCACAAGCTTAAACAGATAACCAAAAGAAGATACAACACTTATGCAAAAAAAAAAGAGTGTTACTGGCTGGAACTAGCAGCACCAACGAGAACACCTTGAGCATTACCTTCTTTTTTGTTACCTTCTTCCTTGGAATCTTCTTGCTTCCTTAGCCTGATCTGATACTTAGCTTCAAACTCCGACATATCTTTCTTCTTCTTCTCCAGCGTCTCGTAAAGCTTCCTCACAACCTCTTCTAGCCCTTCCTTGTTGCGGTTGACAGCTGGGAGCACCTCTCTGATGGTTCTCTCGACGAGCACGCCTCCTATCATGCGGAAGCATTTCCTAGACTGGTCGAGAGGCTGAATTGCGTTGATCACGAGAGAGTGTTCGCTCACTTGCATCTCGAGGTCGGTTATGTTGGAGTAGATTTGGCTTATCTCTGCTCTCATTGACTCGTACATGTTTAGAACTGCTTGCTCACTCGGCGGTTCTCTTAGACCGGATTTGCTCGCCATTGCTTCTGTTCTACTAAAGAAGCAAGCAACAAATCAATCAATACACAGCTGCAGAAACTCGACCAATATACATATGAAAGAGTAAAGATTAGAAATTATCTTCTTTTACAAGAAGGAATGGTCTCATATCCATATTCAAATCAGATCAAGATTCAAGCTTACAATCAAATCCATCACTATCTCATCTAATCAATACAAGAATTCATCAGTCTCATAGCATCGAATCCATTTATACCAAGAACAAGCAACCAACACGGAACATTCCACAAGTAGAGTCCATTTTAAAGCAAACAAGCTCAAAACTATGGCTCAGAGATGCAAACAGTGAAAAAAGATGAATTTGACACTCCTGTAATCGATTAAGGACCTTTTTGTGCAAACTCTGTGACTGCAAATGGCGCACGAAATTAGGGTTTGGATGTCACTGATATCAGCTCGATCCAACGATTTCATGACTATGTTCTGTTTCCTAGACTGATCTAGGTTCGATTTTCTATAACCAGAACGGGAACATCGAATAAGCTAGGTCGAGATCGAAGACGATTGATTGGGAAATTTCCAAAAATTCAGGACTAGATTCTGTTTACTTTCTCAACATCGACACATACCAAAGTAATAGAGAGCTTACTTTTACAAACGAAACCACACGAGGAAGATCGAAAGAAGCTTTTGCTTGATGAGAGGAAACGATCGAGACGACGAAGATGGAGTTTGAGAGAAAGAGAGAAATCGCGGCGCAGAGAGTGAGGAAGAAGAAGTAAGGGTTGGGTTAAGTCAAAAATTGAACCGGCTAAACAAATTGAACCGTTTTTTTTTAAATATTATGATTATCGAACCGGATTTTCTTCTTCTCTGTTCCTCACAAAGCACAAAAACTTGGCAGAGAAAGAAGTGAACGGAACGATTATTATGATATTATATCTGAGGATTTTAGATATATTAACATAAGCTTTTGGCTATTTTACAAAGATTTTCATAAGAGTTTCAATGTTGTGCACGAGTAATTAATTTTGAGTTTCACACAAATGACAAAGATGCAGACAGAATCTGAAGATACACGTTGAAGAATATGAAAAAGATTTGTTGAAAAAAAGATGATTTTATTTGTATATATCCCCAAGAAGAAGATCAGGGCTCAAAGGTCATCGTCTCTGCCTCTTTCCTTGTTGCATCAAACAGTACAGTCGATAGATATCTTTCCCCAAAACTTGGGAACACCGCCTGCAAAAAACATTCAGTTTCACATCTCTTGTTACATGTTAGAATCCAGAAAAAAAAGACTACAAGCATCTTCTTTAGCTTTGCAAAAAGACTTACCACTATAAGCTTGCCAGCATTTTCTGGCCTCTTTGCAAGTTTGATTGCTGCGGAAGCTGCTGCTCCTGATGAGATCCCCACCTAACATTATATTGCTTCTACTTGTTAGGAAGAGACATATGTGAGGATATAGTTGAATCAAGAACAGAGAAAATGTATATTCATTCCTTGTGAAATGTGAAGAACTTACTAGTAGACCCTCTTCCTTAGCAAGAAGCCTTGCCATGTCAATGGATTCTTCACTTGAAACCTACCGTAAGCCATTACAAAACGTTGGAAGAAAGAAACTAAGACATGTGCAGTTTCATCCATACAAGGAGATGATATTAGTATGAAAAAATATTTACCTGAACAACTTCATCTATAAGCTCAACATCCAAAATGCCTGGAATAAAACCAGCACCTATACCTTGAATCTTGTGTGGGCCTGAACATTTTTCATTCAAACAAACACATGTTAGCTTAGGCTAAAACCAATTGAATCTTTATATCCATTCAACAACACTCAAGACTAACAAGTGAGCAAAATACAAGATAGAGTGTTCAAGGTGATACATTTCAAGGCTTAGCCAAAGACTTCGATAGTTAGAGTAAGATAGATTGAAAACACACCTGGCTTTCCACCGGAAAGAATAGAGCTTTCAACAGGCTCAACACCATACAGCTGAAAGATGAGAAAACAAATGAGAAACTTCTGACAAGTTTTGATTTTACTAAAGAATATTCTGATATTCTATGAGTTAGTAGATGAAGTTCTTCACCTTTATGTTTGGATTCTGTTCCTTGAGATACTTTCCAGCACCAGTTATGGTACCACCAGTACCAATACCAGAAACAAAGCCATCAACTTTCCCACCAGAACCTTTCCATACCTCAGGTCCAGTAGTCTCATAATGGATCTACAATAAAAATCCCACAACACTATGTCAAAAAGTGTCTGAATTTCGATCCACAAAGGCTTTAAAAGTACCTTTGGGTTAGCAGGATTCTCAAACTGTTGAAGCATGTAACCATTAGGAGTTTTGGCCAAAATCTCCTCTGCTTTTGCAACGGCTCCTTTCATGCCTTTAGCCGGATCAGTAAGAACAAGCTCAGCTCCAAATGCTAAGAGAATGATTCTTCTCTCTATACTCATTGAAGCTGGCATTGTGATCACTAGCTTGTATCCTTTTGCTGCTGCTGTAAACGCTAACCCAACTCCGGTGTTTCCACTTGTTGGCTCAATCAACACACTCTTAAACAAAAATTGAAAATTTTCAGAAAAAAAATAATATTAAGTCTGGTTTTTTTTTTTTTTTTGAAGAATCTGATTTAGAAAACACAGACTTCTCCTGGTTTGATAAGACCTTTAGCTTCTGCATCAGCAATCATGCTATAACCAATCCTGTCTTTGACGCTTGAGCATGGTTCCATCATCTCTAGCTTAGCAGCAACATGGCCCACACAACCTTGGGTCACTTTGTTCAGATACACTAACGGAGTGTTACCTATTAACTAACACAAAGTAAAAGATAACTAGAAATTTATAAACATGAAACGAACAAGACATAGCTGAAGAAGCAGAGTCTTTGGAGCCTTACTTCAGTGACATCTTTAGCGATTCGAGGAGTCTCTGAGGCCATTTTATCAAAGGTCACTGCTTGATTTCACAGAAGAAGAGATTTCAGAATTGTCAGATTATCAAAAAAAAAAAACAATCACAACATATTATATCACCTCCTCGATTATTGCAAAACGATCAAGCGTTTAAACTTTCATTTTCAAGTTGAATATTCGTGATCTAAAAGAGATATTTTGAAAGGATTTTTAATTCCCCAAATCGAGATCAAAACCTACAAAAACCTCACAAGAAATGAATACTGAAATCAGTTTACATACCAGGAATAATCGATACGATCAAATTCCAATAGATTGTAAAGCGTGAATAAAGCTCGATCGATTATGGAAGTTGATAAAAGCAGAGAAGCAGTGTGTGTTATAAACAGAGGAAGACGATGATTGAAAAGTCAACACTTTGACCCCCAACACTTGGGAATATTAAACCTTAAAAAAAATGAAAACGGATAACATAAATTTGGGAGCCAGACACATATCCATTGGGACCCACTTTTACCATCGTGTCTTGACTCATTAAACCACAAATTTGGAGTTAGCTGATCACTGATATCGTGATATGTAACGTCAAACAAAAAGTTTAGTACATTTATACATAAGCTTAAAGCAAAAAAAAAAAACATTTTAAAGAAGAAAGGAATCATAAAGTACGACGATGGATATTGATGTATCAAGAAAATAATTAATCACTACATTATTCAAACGACATTGTCTTCAGAAGCAAAACCAACGTAGCAAAAAAAAACACAAAAACAAGAGCTGCAAGAAATCACTTGCTTAGTTAAATTGGATTCGAACCAGACTTGGAGCATAACTGAACATTAATGGCCTTGATTGCGAGCATGGTTCTCTCATAAAAAGGATTTCTTTGTAATATCGATGGTCCTCTCCAATAGTGTACGCCACGTTCTTTCGGCCAAAATAAGATGCATTACAACACAAGGCCACTTTCTTCTCCTCATCGATTAAAAGACTCCTGAAAGGACGAATACCTTTATGAAGTAAGTCCACTACAAAGGCTTTGCTCCATGACAAGTCTTCTTCAGTATTAATTAAGTTTATTGCTCACCCACATCTCCGAGACAGTGTGAGTGTCACAACTGTAATGTAACACTGAGAGTCTTTCCTCTCGAACAACTGACAGAGCGATATAAAAACGCTTGTGAGCTGGGGGAAGACACAGACGTCCAAATATTACTCTTGTAGAATCAAAACTGACTAAGCATTTGTCTTCGACATCAGCGACAGAAATCCAATAAGTATTTCCCTTCAACGTCACGCTACCATCATTTTGTCTGACCCACTTGGGAGGATTCAAAACTCTCCATGTATTTGAGCTTAACTCATAGAGTTCAAATCCACCAACCATGTCTTCTCTTTCCCAACCATAACGATGCATCAAGATTTTGTAGTCGCGGCCAGATTTGTTGTTTTCGTATCCTAGAGAAAACCTAGATTGTCTCTTGTAACCATTTTTGCGTTGGATCCACTTTGTTTCCCCTGAACATGGATTCCAAACCAGGGGTCTATGTCTATGGTCGTTGGTGATGCATAACAACAAACCGTCGCAGTGTGAAACTTGAGCTATATCGACTTGTTCTGAATAAGAATGAGAATCCTTTAGGTCAAGGGCACCACTAAACTCTATAGATGGAGGAATAACGTTGAGATCGACGATCACTGGACAAAGCCTAGATTCCTTCAACACGAGAACATGAGACTGCTTTGGAGCTTTACCAAAGTGCTTCTCGGTGAATCCTGGCTCTTTGAATAAACAGTCCCATCGTTTGCAAGTAGATCGTAATCGTTTCAAAGATGCGGCTGGAACCCTAGAAAGTATTGTTGAATTTGTGTTTAGAAACAGAGAGAAGAAAAGATGAGACAAATACAGAGCAAGAGATGAGAGTGTATCTCTTGTCTTATGAAGAAGAAGATTAATGAGGAATTGATTTTTATTATCTGAACTTGAAATTTACATCAAGTGTTACATTGTCTTATATACTAAGACAAGAACACATCGAAGAGTTGTGTCTCTTCCTCTTGTGTGTGAAACAATATAACCAATAGTTGCAACTTTACTAGACATCGTTTGATACACACATATGCTAACTTAGGACTAAACTCAATTAATTCCAACAAGTATTTCCTCCACCAAATCTACAGGAAGCTCGGGCATCATCATATTCATTGCTTCTCTTATGGAGTACTCGATCCCAAGTAAGAATAAGGGTGTTGTATTTCTCTTTGTGATCCGATCTCCTTAGAAAAAAAAAAAACGACTCGATGGAGGCTCACTAAGTAGATATTAGGGTTTTGAGTTTTTTTTCACGTTTACCACCGAACAGATCATGTCTTATACAAAAAATCGATTTACCCCCTTCACGTACTCTTTTACTATTCCTCCGTGGATTTTTTCTTATATAGTTTTACTTCAATTTTTTAAATCTCCAGTATACTTTTTTTTTTTAAAAGAAAAAGAAGCATACATGGGTAAGATCAATTCTGTTTTCTCGTGACTTGGGTGAAAAACCTGTCTTTGACGCTTGAGCATTGACAGCATGGTTCCATCATCTCGAGCTTAGCAGTAACATGGCCAACACAACCTTCAGTCACTTTGTTAAGATGCACTAATGCATTGTTCGTTTAACATGTGACATTGCTGAAATCTATTAAACCATAAGTATTCATATACCGGAAATCATCAAGACCAAATACCATATTCGCCAATCTTGATATCAAATGCTAAGAAACCAAAAGAACAAAAAAAAAGGCTCAACCAAAAACTCTACAATACAAAGAAGACAGGAATCATAGAGTAAGAGGATATTGATGCACCAAAAAAAGTCTTCCTTAAATATTTAAATCATTCGAACGACATTGACTTTCAAAAACAAAAACAACAGAAGATGAGCTGCAAGAAATCACTTGCTTATTTTGATTGGATTTGAACCAAACTTGGAACATAATTGAAAATAACTGGCCACCCCCGATATCCTCTATTATAAGGTATTTCTGTGTAATATTTATCGTTCTCTCCAATAGTGTATACCACCTCCCTCCTGCCGGGGTCATAAAATGAGTTACAACACAAGGCCACTTTCTTGTCCTCGTCGATTATAAGACTCGTGAAAGCATAACGACAATTATCCATATTTCCATCTAAGTCCACTGCAAAAGACTTGCTCCATGAAAAGTCTGCTTCAGTGTCAGTTTTATTGGTCACCCACATCTCCACCTTTGATGTACCAGAGCTGTGATGTAAGACTGAGAGTTTTTCCTCTCTAACAACTGATAGAGCCATAACCTCACCAATTTTCATAAATGAGGGAAGACACAGACGTCTAAATCTCTCTCCTGTAAAATCAAAACTGAGCAAGTAGTCGATTTTGTCATCATCGTCAACACCAATCCAGTAAGTATTTCCCTTCAAAGTCACGCCGGTATATCTTGCCGCGATGCAATTGGGAGTATTAACAACTCTCCATGAATTAGAGCTAAACTCATTGATTTCAAATCTATCAAAACCACAATTCCAATACATCAAGATTTTGTAGCTGTGGCCAGATTTGTTGTTTCCGTATCCTAGAGCAAACCCAGCGTGAAAGTTGTAACCATCTTTGTGTTGGATCCACCTTGTTTCCCCTAAGCACGGATTCCAAACCACGGGTCTCTTGCGCTGGTGATGCATAACAACAAACCGTCGCAGTGAAAAACGTCAGCTATATCGAGTTGTTCTGAATTACGAAGGGAACACTTTAGATCAAGTGCATCTTTAAACTCTATAGATGGAGGAACAACGTTGAGATCTACGTTCATTGGAAAAACCCTAGAGTTCTTCAACATGACAACATGAGACTGCTTTGGAGCATTACGAAAGTGCTTCTCGGCGAATCTTGGCGTTTTGAATAAAGCTTTCCATCCTTTGCAAGTTGATCGTAATGGTTTTAGAAATGTGGCCGGAACCCTAGAGAGTATTTCCTCCACCAAATCCGCAGGAAGATCGGACATCGTCATTGTTTCTCTTATGCAGAACTTGATTCCAAGGAGGAAGAAGGAAAAAGAAAACAACTAGATGGTGCTGTCGATCTCTAAGCAGAAATTAGGGTTTTTGGGTTTATTCACGTTTACCACCGGACAAATCATGTCTTATAAAAAGAGTCGATATACACTTACGTACTCTTTCCTTTTCCTCCGTGGATTCTGCTTATTAATTTTACTTAAATATTATTTTTCCAGTTTACAGAAAAGAAGTATATATATATGTGTAGCTTGCTTCCGTGACATCTTCGGCGATCATGTTTCAAGCTTACGGCATAGTCTGCATAAGTTGCACTAAACAGAGATTCCAAATAGTCAAAATATCAAAAACAAATTACGAACATATTTTATCAGCTTCTTGATTAATAGATTATTTGTGAGAATTACAAAATATATTTGAGATAGCTTGCAGAACAAGGTGTTGTTGGATTTGATTGAGTTTAGTCAATGTTTCTAAGTTAGTAAGTGTGTATTAAACGGTGTCTTGTAAAGAGTTGTGACGGTTGGTGTAGGTTGTGTTTAAGACACAAGCAAAAGACACATCTCTTGTTTACTTGTCACAAAAACTATTTAACACGTTGAAGCACAATCATGTAACTTATCAAGTTTCAGATCAATAAAAGTTTATACTTCATTCTTCGTTTCTTTTTCATAAGAGAAGAGATGAGTTATCTCTTGCTCTGTTGTTTGTCTCTTTCTTCTCCTACTCTCTGTTTCGTTATCAATATTTCAACAGGTGTATCTTGTATCCTGCTGACGAAGTATATTTTACACTTTGCTTTTCAAGATTATCTTCAATAAAATAAACAAACGAATTAAACTTTTTCATTCTTGCTTAATTTTCTGGTTTAATAAGACCTTTAGGCTTATGCATCATCAATCATATGCTGTAGCTATTCCTGCAACAATTTGAAAAGCAGAAATTCGAAAGCCGAAACAAACAGAGATATAACTTAATTTGTGGAAACCTGTCTTCAACGGTTGACCATGGTTCCATCTTCTCGAGCTTAGCAGTAACATGGCCAGCACAACCTTTAGTCACTTTTTTTTAGATACCCAAAGTAAGATAACTAAAAACATTGAACGAACAAGACATTTAGTTAAGACAGGCATAATAACTAAAAACAGAAAAATAAATAAGCTCAAATAAAAAACTATACAACAAAAAGAAGAAAGGATTCATCGAGAAATTAAAGATGATATTGATGTACCAAAAAAGTATTCCTTAAATATTTAAATCATTCAAACGACATATTGTCTTTCAAAAACAAAAACAACAGAAGATGAGCTGCAAGAAACCACTTGCTTATCTTGATTGGATTTGAACCAAACTTGGAACATAATTGAAAATAAATGGCCCTGGCCCATCACCCCATTCTCTATCATAAGGTATTTCTGTGTAATATTTATGGTTCTCTCCAATAGTGTATACCACCTCCTTCCTGTTGCGGTCATAAAATGAATTACAACACAAGGCCACTTTCTTCTCCTCGTCGATTATAAGACTCGTGAAAGCATAACGACAATTATCCATATATCCATCTAAGTCCACTGCAAAATATTTACTCCATGACAGGTCTGCTTCAGTGTCAATTTTATTGGTCACCCACATCTCCACCTTTGATGTACCAGAGCTGTGATGTAAGACTGAGAGTTTTTCCTCTCTAACAACTGATAGAGCCATAGCCTCATCAAGTTTCATAAATGAGGGAAGACACAGACGTCTAAATCTCTCTTCTGTAAAATCAAAACTGAGCAAGTATTCGTATTTTTCATCATCTTCAACAGCAATCCAGTAAGTATTTCCCTTCAAAGTCACGCCGGTATATCTTGTTATGATGCAGTTGGGAGTATTAACAACTCTCCATGAATTAGAGCTAAACTCATAGATTTCAAATCTAGTTTTGAGACAATCCCAATACATCAAGATTTTGTAGCTGTGGCCAGATTTGTTGTTTCCGTATCCTAGAGCAAACCTAGCGTGAAAGTTGTAACCATTCTTGTGTTGGATCCACCTTGTTTCCCCTAAGTACGGATTAAAAACCACCGGTCTCTTGTTGTCGGTGATATACGAAGGGAACACTTTAGATCAAGTGCATCTTTAAACTCTATAGATGGAGGAACAACGTTGAGATCTACGTTCGTTGGAAAAACCCTAGAGTCCTTCAACATGACAACATGAGACTGCTTTGGAGCATTACGAAAGTGCTTCACGGCGAATCTTGGCGTTTTGAAAAAAGCTTTCCATCGTTTGCAAGTTGATCGTAATGGTTTTAGAGATGTGGCCGGAACCCTAGAGAGTATTTCCTCTACCAAGTCCTCAGGAAGATCGGAGATCATCATTGTTTCTCTTATGGAGAACTCGATCCCAAGGAAGAAGAGGCTTTTGTATCTCTCCTTGTGATCTTATCTCCCAAAGAATAAGAAAACGGCTAGATGGGGGCTCTCTAACCAGAAATTAGGGCTTTGAGAATTTTTTTCTCGTTTTCCACCGAACAAAATATGTCTTATACTCTTAACATTAAAACCAAAAAAAAAAAAATATGTCTTATATGTTATAGTAAGAAGAGAGAACAAGAGAAGAGAGGAATTGGTTGTGTCTTATTCCATTAGTAATGAGCTCCTTATATAGGATTACAATATAGGGTTTTCCTTGGAGAGGAATACACTTGGAGAACAAGCTAGAACATTCTAGAATATGGGCCGATAATGGGCTTCCATATAAACTAGTTATAACACTCCCCCTTGGAAGTCCATTATCTAAAAATATCTTCTAAGTGCGCATGATGCTGCCTCGTTAAAACCTTACCAGGAAAACCCAAAGGGAAAAACCTTAGTTAAGGAAAAAGAGTACAGCGCGCAACTACTCCCCCTCATGAGAACATCCGTGTAGATTAGGTGAATGAACTTCTTGATAATAGCAGATGGAAACTCCTTTAAAATCTTCACTTGAACAGTCTTTAGAACATTGACATCGCCATTCTTCTTGGTTGCATGGATCAAGATGATTCATCTTGATCAATCTCCTTGCTTCACTTGATCTCATAAATAGATGACAAGACTTCTTTAGATGTTTCTCATTTGTGTGTTCTTTGTTGCCTCATTAAAACCTTTCATGGAAAAACCCAATGGGATAAAAACCATGATAAGGAAAAAGAGTACAACCACACATATCATCATATTCTCCCCCTTGGAAGCATATTCTTCAGGAGATGCATTCCAATACTATCTTTTGGAGATTACTATAAGTATAACTTTGATGAAAGTCATTTAGACTTTTAGTCTAGACATCTTTTTCTATAAACAATCATTTGGACTTCTGGCCAAATTTTCTCTTTTATATACAAAACATCTATCTTGTATATATAATCTCATGCTCATTTTCAATTATGAAAGAGACTAACATATTTTTCAAATAGCATTTGAAGTATGGTACTTCAGGACCAAATATATGTGAGCATTGTTTATGTAAATCATGCCATAACATTTCTGGGAATTTGGGATATCTTAAGACAACTTTGTCTTTCCAAGATCTTTTATCCCATCTCTTTTGTGATACTAATTTCGACAATTCTTCTGGAATTTCGATTATGTTTAGACTAAGATCTCTTTTGATCTATAAATATACATGGGTATTTGTTAGCTTTATATATTCACTTTCGTGATTATATCCATGAATCAAATTTCTTTTCATTTGATTAATAGCTAATATTTTCCGGGAACAAAACAATGATATCATTAATTCTTTAATGATTATATCCTTCAGGGACTTTTACATAAATATCATTGTTTAGTGAGTTGTATAAGTCAAGTTCTTCTTTCATTGCCAGACTTAATGAACTTGAAAGTTGCATCCACCACATGAGAGTATATCTCTTCATACTCATTCTTCTTCGGCACAAATGCCAAATTTATAACTCACTTGTTTCACACTTTTTAGGTGAAAGGACTTCTGGTCCAAATCTCTCTTTCTTTTGTGTCTATTGCTTCTTTTCGATTTGGCCAAATCATTACTTTGTGTACACAATGCAATAGACTTTGTTTCATGATCCTCTTTCTCATTCATAATATCAACTGCTACATTGCATGCAAATATATTATTTACGACGTCGATTTGCTTCTGGTTCCATTTATTCTATACATGACATAAGTAATTTCTCGAGATCTCATCATTGTCTCAGGTACCTGAATTTCTTATTTGTCATGTTTAATGTCTCTTCTGGAGATCACTCAAAAATATTTGTTTCCTCGGTTTGACCATTGTCAATTTATGCTCTTTTACTTTTTCGAGGATTATAATATTTGGAACCGACAAGTCTATCACGCTTCATGCGTTCTTTAGACTCACTAGCAGCTTGATATTGTCCTTCTGGGACATCAATTCTTATTAGAGCATTTACAGCTGGTAAGTGACTCAATCACTATATTTGGGTCAGTAAATGTATCTGGCAACTGATACAATAAGTTTTGTGAATGAATTATCTTTTGGACTTCTATTTCACATTCTATAGTCCGAGGATCAATGATAATTCATTCAAACTACTTTTCTTTCCAGCCTTTTATTTTCTCCCCCTGATGTTGGAAAGACTTATCCATTAACATGGTAGTATAAATCGAGCCTTACTTAAATCCTTCAGGATAGCTCTCAATTTTATCCAACATCTAAAACCTCTTTGAGGATCTATCTCATACTCACGTCGTGGATTGTATACTGTATATCCACATGCCTTTAGATGAAAATATTTGGTTTCTGACCAAAACCAATTCCAAAGGGAGAACTTTTAATAACTCATTGGCTTGATTTGAATCAATGCTCCTGCATTCTTAGTATGAACATGTATACTGGATGTTCACTGAATTCACCTTTATTACCAATTAATTAATCTTGCAACTTCAGGTTACAGATTGATATCAAGTATACATACAACCATCTTAAAGTTTTCACGTAGATGATCAGTCCACATAGTAGCTTAAACCATAAACTTTTCCGTGTATACTTTTAATAAGTGACTAGATTCCAAATCTTGTCAACTGGTGAATATCATACTATGAATTTCTTGTGAGCATGGGACATATCACAAATCATTGAGAGAATCTTCTGGTTCTTCAACGAATGTCCATATGATTAACTTTCACATCATATCTTAACCAGATTGGTCTAACGGGTTCATGCCAAACAGTGAAGTTTTCATTAACCTTCCGGTGACCATAACTTCTGGTGTACGGCAATATTTGCTTTGATTGTATAAGCACATTACAATCTGCATTTAATCTTTCCATAATGGTATATAGAGCCTTGGGTAATATGCGTAATGTGAATGTATTCAACATTCTCTTCACTCATAGTCTCAATGTGATGATTCTAAAAATCTTCAGGATTTTCTTTAGCATAGTGTGAACTTCATCTCCTGGATGTTTCACTTGCTATATATATATGAGATTCTTTAATTCTCCCCCCTCGAGATGGTGATACTCTCAATACATCCATCTCAGACATAATCTCACTTTGAATCAACATCACACCCAACTTGGCTCATGTATCCCTGTAACTTTTAAGATTATGACGCATAAGCAATTTTGAATATGAGTTCCCATAGACTGTATGTTCTTCCAAAACATTCAATATGGATGCTCTTCTGGAGCTTTCAATACATATGCTCTTCTGGAGCCTTTTCTATGTATACTCTTCTGAAGTTTTCAATATATATACTCTTCTGGAGTATTCAAATTCACATATATAAATAACATAGAAAATAAATAGCAACTCATAAATTCATAGGATAAAAAGAACAGCTAAAAGCAAATCAAAATTAATAAATAAAGTAACATATATTTTTAAGTAAACTATATGCTTGAATCTCAATTATTTCCTTCAGGGATGAGAAGATCAGCAATTGCTCGTTTGTTACAATTTTTTATTCACTCACTTCTGGTGAGAATTTATAATTATTTTGACCTTTGAACTTGACTACATACACACCTATTCATAACATCATCTTTATGATCAGTTTTTGGCTAGTTTTATTTCTGTAGTCATCGACATTCACTTCAGGGAATGAAGGAGAACTATTTTAGTTCACCAATGAAAAACATTACTTGTCGAGATCATACCTTCTCCTCTCAAAATAGAGTTTTTGACCGATCATAATAAAATTTTGATCAAATATATAAAATGACCAGACTCTATCTATGGTCAAGTATTCTATTTTAAGGTCATCAACAACAAAAATGATCAGACTATATATATTAATAGATATTAGTCATATAAAAATAAGGAAGTCAATATATAATCATCAGAAGGCAAACATAATATAATTCTATTCAGATTGAATTAAAACGGATGAAGCAAGTCATGCGACTTCAGAATATAGATATGTTTGCTGATGGTTTCAAATTCCAAAAACAAAATTTCAGTATGATGGAATTTCAATTATAAAATTCATGATTATGAACTCATATCAACAATTCTCAAAATAATAAACAGCAAATGTCAAAATGAAGTAAACTATCAAGTTCGTTCAGTAGTGGTGGTAAAAATCAAACCAACGACATCAAACCCAAACATTAGAATATATGGCTAACCGATAAACAAGAGGAGATGATGCAACCTATTAATAAAAATTCTTCTTATGGCTCGATATATAAGATCAAGTTCCTTTTTCTTTTTGGGTAAAGTATCAACATTCATAAGTGAATTCTGTAAAATTCAGAACTTAAATCAAATAAGATCATAGACCAGCAAGCATCTAGGTGAACATATTAAATCTTAATTCCAAGTTCATTGATACTAAAGCATCGTTTAACTTATTAATCAAAACAATAGTACTCAAGATGGTTTATGATTATGAAACAAGCTACGGTCAAATTACATGTACACCAAAGCCTCGAATATTTCATCATGTTGTACACCAAGAAAATATGAACAAACAGTTTATAAATTCAAAGAATATTATGGTGAGACAGTAGTTAAACATATTAAATCAGATTATATTCTTATGATTTTATCAATATTGCAAATCAATATTTAAATATTACTTGATCTATAGTTTGCTGTGATTATTTGCTAATATTAATAAAGCATAAATATTCACTTATCTCGATGATTGGAGAGAATGAATTCTGACTTACGGGTACGACATCCAGAAACTGAGAAAGTGTTAGCTTAGGCTTTGCTCAGAATTGTACAAGTTTGTGCGCTCGACATCATTATCTGTTAAAAATTGAATAATCAAACTGATGAGTATTTGAAAGAAAATCCAAACAACATGGTCAACTTATTATGTTAAAATAGAGAACTCAACTAGATCAAATAAACGATTCATCACCAATGACCAATCAAATATTCTTAGATATAATAGATCAAATGCTATACCAAATCAATTGACCAAACAAAATAAGGAATTCAAAATGCTTTACGATTATGAAATAAGCTAGGACCATATGGCATGTAATATAGATTATGTATTTCTTAATTACTTTGAAGACATTCACAAATATGCGTGACAAAATACTACTTAAATATAACTTTCAAGTTTATATAAAAAGAACATGCATTCAAACATGGCTCACAAACAGACAGATCTCGTCAAAGCAATGACTCATGTGCGTAGGGAAACATGGTAATATATCAAACCATATTCATGTCTCGATTAAATAAATCATGTATAAATCTATAAAGCAATAGATTAAAAGGATGATATAGTTAGATGTAATATATGGTACTTATCTTTGATAATGATGGAGAGTGGAGCATACGACGAGCTACATACGGCGGAGTCGAATAACTCAAACAAAGTGGGTTAGGGTTTTACTCATACGGCTACTGTTTTGTGTTTACTCAGTGGCTAGGGTTTTAACCTAATAAAGAGACTCGTGCTGATAACGTGTTATAGTAAGAAGAGAGAACAAGAGAAGAGAGGAATTGGTTGTGTCTTATTCCATTAGTAATGAGCTTCTTATATAGGATTACAATATAGGGTTTTCCTTGGAGAGGAATACACTTGAAGAACAAGTAGAACATTCTAGAATATGAGCCGATAATGGGCTTCCATATAAACTAGTTATAACATTATACAAAAAAACGATTTACTTCACGTAATATTTTCCTTTTATTCCGTGGATTCTGCTTATTAATTTTACTTCATTTTTTTTTCCTTTACAAGTTAACTTTTTTTTTAAAAGGAAAAGAAGTATGGTCTAAAGAGCTTGCTTCCGTTCAAGCTTACTGCATAGTTGCACTACACAGAGATGCCAAATAGTCAAAATATCAAAAAAAAATTACAAACATACTATTATCAGATTCTTGATTAATTATTTGTGAGAATTACAAAATAATGAAATATATTTGAGATAGCTTAATTTATAGTTCAAGAACAAAAAAAATGAGCCGGTAGTATTACAAAACAGACAAACGTATTCTTTGGAGAGAGATATATTGATGTACCAAAATATATTTCATTAAATTATTCAAACGAAAACGTATTCAAAAACAAAAAACAACGAAGAAAATAAAAACAAGACATGCAAGAAATGACTTGCTTAGTTTGATTGGATTCGAACCAAATTTGGAACATAATTGAAAATAAATGGCCACCATCCATCATGAAAATTATATAATGGGTTTTTCATATATGGGATTTCTGTGTAATTTTCGTCGTCCTCTTCAATAGTGTATACCACGTTCTTGCTCCAATAATGTGAATTACAACACACGGCCACTTTCTTCTCCTCGTCGATTAATAGACACGTGAAAGTCAAAAGACGATTACCCATATCTCCATTCTCTAACAACTGACAGAGCCACATGTAAACCACCACCATCCATAACCATAAACCGAGGAAGACACAAACGTCTAAATCTTCATCCTGTAAAATCAAAACTGAGTAACAACTTGTTGTCATAATCGTCAACATCAGTAGAAGTCCAATAAGTATTTCCCTTCAACGCTACGCCTCGATAACTTGTTCTGATGCAGTTGGGAGCATTAACAACTCTCCATGAATCATAGCTAAACTCATAGATTTCAAACCCACCAACTGTTTTGCCACATTCCCAATACATCAAGATTTTTTTTTTTTTGGTTTTAATGTTAAGAAATACATCTAGATTTTGTAGCTGTGTCCAGATTTGTTGTTTTCTTATCCTAGAGCAAACCTAGATAAGTCTCTATTGTAACCATACTTGTGCTGGATCCACCTTGATTCCTCTAAATACGGATTACAAACCACATGTCTTTTGCGGTCGGTGATGCAAGCAGTGAAAAACTTTAGGTCAAGTGCATCTTTAAACTCTATAGATGGAGGAACACAAAGAAGACTATTTTTCTCAAACCAAAAACTATACCACACAAAGAAGACAGGAATCATAGAGTAAGCGGTAAAGAGGACATTGATGTACCAAAAAAAAATATTTCTTAAATATTTATATAATTCAAACAGAAATATCTTCAAAAACAAAAGCAACTAAAGAAGAGCTGCAAGAAATCACTTGCTTATTTTGATTGGATTTGAACCAAACTTGGAACATAATTGAAAATAAAGGACCACCCCCATCTTCTATCATAAGGTATCTCTGTGTAATATTTATCGTTCTCTCCAATAGTGTATACCACCACCCTCTTGCCGCGGTCGTAAACTGAATTACAGCACAAGGCCACTTTCTTCTCCTCGTCGATTATAAGACTCGTGGAAGCATAATGACAATTATCCATATATCCATCTAAGTCGTCCACTGCAAAATATTTACTCCATGACAAGTCTGCTTCAGTGTCAATTTTATTGGTCACCCACATCTCCACCTTTGATGTATCATAGTTGTGATGTAAGACTGAGAGTTTTTCCTCTCTAACAACTGATAGAGCCTTAGACTCACCACGATTCGTACTTGAGGGAAGACACAGACGTCTAAATCTCTCTCCTGTAAAATCAAAACTGAGCAAGTATTCGGATTTGTCATCATCGACGTCAGCACCAATCCAGTAAGTATTTCCCTTCAAAGTCACGCCGGAATATCTTGTTACGATGCAATTGGGAGTATTAACAACTCTCCATGAATTAGAGCTAAACTCATAGGTTTCAAATCTATCAAAACCACAATTCCTATACATCAAGATTTTGTAGCTGTGGTCAGATTTGTTTTTTCCGTATCCTAGAGCAAACCCAGCGGAAAACTCGTAACCATCTTTGTGTTGGATCCACCTTGTTTCCCCTAAGCACGGATTCCAAACCACGGGTCTCTTGCCGCTGGTGATGCATAACAACAAACCGTCGCAGTGAAAAACGTCAGCTATATCGAGTTGTTCTGAATTACGAAGGGAACACTTTAGATCAAGTGCATCTTTAAACTCTATAGATGGAGGAACAACGTTGAAATCTACGTTCATTGGAAAAACCCTAGAGTTCTTCAACATGACAACATGCGACTGCTTTGGAGCTTTACGAAAGTGCTTCTCGGCGAATCTTGGCGTTTTGAATAAAGCTTTCCATCCTTTGCAAGTTGATCGTAATGGTTTTAGAGACGTGGCCGGAACCCTAGAGAGTATTTCCTCTACCAAATCCTCAGGAAGATTGGACATCGTCATTGTTTCTCTTATGGAGAACTCGATCCCAAGGAAGAAGAGGGTTTTGTATCTCTCCTTGTGATCTTATCTCCCAAGGAATAAGAAAACGACTAGATGGGGGCTCTCTAAGCAGAAGTTAGGGCTTTGAGTTTTTTTTTTCTCATTACAAATGTCTTATACAAAAAGACGATTTATACCCTGATGTAATCATTTCCTCTTACTCTGTGGATTCTGCTTATTAATTTTACTTGATTTTTTGTTCTTTTCTTTCCAGTTTACCTTTTTAAAAATAAATAAAAGAAACATATGAGTAAGGGCCTGATTGGTTCTCCCGCTACCACCCGCAAACGCAGCGTTTGCGGTTCGTAGCGGTTTTCGGCGGTTTATAACAATCACGACAACCGCTTTGAATCGCTCTATACCACTCTGTACCGCTCTATATCGCTGAAAATCAAAAGCTCCTTTCCGCAAGCGTTTGCGGTTGCGGGCGGTTGCGGGTGGATAATTAAAAAAAAAAAAAAACACAAACTTATATAAAATCCGAAAATAAATAATAATATTTATTAAAAAATAAGATTTGGATAATAAAATCACAATATAAATAAAAAATTAGTACTTTTAGTCAATATTCATTAAAATCATATAATACTTATATATTTATAAGTTCTACAAATCAAAATTCTCTTCATAAATATTCTTTTCATACTAATACATATATATCTAATAAATAAAATTGTAAAATAAATTTAATTTTCACATTAAATATATATTTTGAAAATAAAATCACATTTTTATTTAAATTATAGAAATTAAAAAATAGACGTAAGTATTATACACATATTATTCTTTATAAAAAAATATTTTTAATTATGTTGAACCATAAATTTAAAATTTTCATTATAATATAGTTTTGATATTTTTATAATTATATAATGTGTTTATATTATTAATTTATTGTTTAACCGCTATTGCATCCGCAAGTGAACCAGTCATAAGTATCCCGCAAACGCATCCATTTTCAATTGTTATGCCAGTCGTACAAACCGCTTAATAACGCTACTAATCACAACCGCCCGCTTCCGCAAACTCCCGCACCCGCAACCGCAACCGCAGCGGTTAAACCAGTCAGACCCTAAGATTAACTTTGTTTCCTCTTCAATCATTTAACCATCGTAGATTTCAGATTAACTCCATAGTCATATCAGATCTCATAGTTTAAAGCAAAGTTAGAATTCATCATCAATGCCAATTTAATGGAAATCAACCAATAAATAGGTATACTGTAATTAAATTACACACAGTTTATTTCTTTCCGGTATTAAAACGCTATCTGATACCCCAATAATAAACTTTACACATATTATTATTTATCTACTTCAGTTTGGATTTCTAAGCTTTTTTAATTAGTAGTATTAAATTGTTGACAAAAAAAAATCATTTGCTCTCTTATTCGTCCCACATTTACTTATGGAGTCACTCTGGCCATCCAAGTAAATACTCTTTGCTATCGAATGAACCGTACATGAGACTAAGAGGATAGGGCTTTCAACGGGCTCGACTCCATACATCTTGATATGACTCTTGAGAAAGAAGAAAAAAAGGACAGAAAAAATAGCTAATATATTCGCCATTATTAGGGATCAACTTCAATCGCTAGCTGCTTATTGATAACGTCAAAGAAAGAGTTTGGCAGACACTTTTACAAATAACTCAGACCAAATTAACTATACAACACAAAGAAGAAAGGAATCATAAAGAAAGAGGATCGACAATGATGTATAGAATTAATATTCATTACATAATTCAAACGACATTATATTCAATAACAAAACCAACGATGAAAAATAAAAAATTCGAAGGGCTGCAAGAAATCATCTGCTTATTTTTTACTGGATTTGAACCAGACTTGGAACATAATTGAAAATACATGGAACCTTATTAATTGATGGCCAACATGGATCTTGCTTATAAGGGATTTTTTTGTAATACCCATCGTCCTCTCCAATAATGTATACCACGTTCATCCTCTCCCAATAACATGATGAATCACAACACAAGATCACTTTCTTCTCCTCATCGATTAAAAGACTCCTGAAAGGAGGAATACTACTATTGTGTAAGTGTAAGCCCACTGTAAAGGATTTGCTCCATAACAAGTCTGCTTCAGTTTCAAATTTATTGGTCACCCATATCTCTATCTTTAATGTATCAAAGTTGTGCTGTAAGACTGAAAGCTTTTCCTCTCTAACAACTGATGGCGACTTATAACCATGATTGTGAGATGGGGGAAGACACAGACGTCCAAATCTCTCTTTAGTAAAATCAAATCTGAGTAAGTTGTCTCCGTCACCACGAGTAATCCAGTAACTATTTCCCTTCAAAGTCACGCCACCAAATCTTGCTCTCACCCAGTTTGGAGCATTAGAAGCTCTCCATGTATTAGAGCTAAAATCATAGATTTCAAATCCACTAACTTTGTCGTTTTTTTCCCAACATTCCCAATACATCAAGATTTTGTAGTTGCGGACAGATTTGTTGTTTTCGTATCCTAGAGCAAACGTAGAGTACTTGTAACTATTTTCGTGTTGGATCAACCTGGTCTCCCCCAAACACGGATTACAAACCACGAGTCTATTGTCTTTGGTGAAGCATAACAACAAACCATCGCAGTGAAAAACTTCAGCTATATCGAGTTGTTCTGAATTACGAAGGGAATACTTTAGGTCAAGTGCACCTTTCAACTCTATAGATGGAGGAATAACATTGAGATCGATGTTCATTGGATAAACTCTACAATCCTTCCACATGAGAACACGAAATTGCTTTGGAGCTTGACGAAAGTGCTTCTCGGTGAATCTTGGCTCTTTGAATAAAGTAGAGTTCCAGTACTCTTTGCAAGTAGACCGTAATCGTTTCAAAGATGTGGCGGGAACCCTAGAGAGTATTTCTTCTACCAAATCTGCTGGAAGATCTGACATCATCATTGTGATATGATCTCCGGCCCAAGGATGGCTCTGAGTAGAAATTAGGGTTTTGAGTTTTTTTTCACGTTTACCATCGAACAAATCATGTCTTATATGTATAAAACGTTTTAACTATTTTATTCTTTTTTCATTTTTTTAAACGCTGATAAATTCTATTTTTTTCATTTCTTCACGTTAATATATAAATTTCAATAAAAAAAAAAATCAATCATACTAACAGCCAATCACAGTGTGACATGTGTCTGCATCAGAATAGAGAATCTTCAGCGCATTACAACAACGAAACCACTCATAACTCGCCACGTGGCTGCGCTGCAACTTGTTGCACTGATAGTAGCTGCCATTTTCTTTGCTTTGTTGGACATTTCCTTGATCAGTTTTATACTAGTTTTAATTTCAGTTGTCCTCTCTTATTTATTTTATGTAATTTTATAGATTTGTATGTTAATCTTTTGGACACATAAATAAAACTTGTAAAAATAGAGAATCCCTTTTATATTATTTGAGAAGACATTTAAGAAAATAACATTCAAATTCTTGCTACCATCAAATTATTTTTAAAGATATAAAAAAAAACAATAAAACAAAATACCGCGTAGATTGACATCAATAATTTTTCTTGGAATTTTAACAAAGACGTACGTAGGTTGACAAAAAAAAAAAAAAAAACAAAGACGTACATAGATATTCATTTCTTTCAATCACTCCTTCCTTCCGCGAACTTCCACAGATGCCATCCCACGTGAGATTCTATTCGAGCATGATTAGATATCATTAGAACAAAACATAATATATAGTAATTAAAGTAATTATCACAAAATTAGGAGTTTATAGCAGAGAAAAATAGTACGTACCGTGAGGAGGAGAAACGACCGGGAGGAGGAGTAAGACCATGGGGAGGGTTAGGACCACCGCACAGGAGTTTACAACGTTCAAAGCAATCACCGTCGTTATCGGCACAAGAAGACGTTGTCGAACAGTTACGGAAACAACGTTCAAAACCTCGAATCCAATCATGTTTTGCTTCTACTGTCACCGTCGCAGCCATCACCATCATCATCATTATCACTACTATCGCACTCCATTTCCTCATCTTATTTCTTTTATAGTGTTATATATATAATTATATCCTACAAAACCAGACTTTGTTCTGTCTTATAACTGTTTATATAATTTTGCAAGGTATCAACCTCTCTATTTATAATACAATTTGCCTTGACTTTTACTAGATTTATTAGCAAACATATATATCAAATCGTATCTGTTTTTTTCTTTTCTCCAGATTTGTTACCTTTGATATTTGAATTTTTTAACTAAATTTGTTCACGATTTGATACGTTTTTACAGTAATAAATCTTATAAAAAAGAATATATATTTTGTTCTGGTACAGTTGGAAGAGTTAGCAACGTTTTAGAGATGTGGCTGGAACCAGAGAGAGTGTTTTCTGTTGGTTAATGTTTAAAAAATTGATTCTTGTTTTAAGAAAAATGGCTTCGCCCGGGTTCGAACCGGAGACCTTCAGTGTGTTAGACTGACGTGATAACCAACTACACCACGAAACCTTCATATCTGATCCCAAGTTCTTGTTCTGTATTGTATATTAGCCTTTTTTCTTGTTTTGTCTTGAATAAGTCTGAGCATACCAAGAACCTTCAGCCAATAGTTTCCTTGCCCCTTTTGACTCAATCATGTAATCAATATCCCACAGCCAGCTAACAACCACTGCATTAACATATAAAATTCACAACAAAATTTAAACTTCTTGAAGTGGATAACCCTTGAAAGTTGAAACATTTCATGCATTCTCTGTGTTTGTTTCCTATTCCTTCTTTAGGAAATTCACTGAACGACTTCAGTAATCATTATATCAAGCTCACACTTAATTAAAGTGTCGTCTCCGAGAATTTGAGAAACTTACAACTTCCCTTTAGTATGAACTTACTTATATTAAGCAAACTGCAAAACTTCAATAATGCATATACTTGGCTTTCTTTCTTCTTGACCTCACCGAACTACCTTGAATCTTCTTTAACAGTGGCTTATATATGTTTAATTAACTGTGCATCTTTGAGCAAACAAAAAAAACAATGCTCTTTATAATAAAACTTGGGATCACTGATTTTTAAGAATTAACATCATCAAATAAAAAGCTTGTCAAAATGGTTAGGTACTTTATAATCAAAAGCTGCTCAGGCTCACATCATCACCGAATCAATTTTTGTTTTTAATTACATATATATATATATATATATATATATATATTCAACATAAAACAAGTTCAAACAAAACCAAACACACAACACAAATAATAAAGGAGTCATAAAGATCGATTATTCGAACGATCTTGTATACAAAACAAAAACGAAGAAAGGAAACAAGAAGAGCTTCAAGAAACTACTTTGCTCTATTTTTACCAAACTAGTTTTCATTCTTTTCTTTCTGTCTTCTACTTTGCCGGATTTGAACCAAACTTGGAACATAATCGATAATAAATGGCAAACAATCATCTGAAGATTCTAGATAAGCTGTTTCTGTGTAGTAATCATCATCCTCTCCAGTAACGTACACTTTGTAGACAGAGTTGTGGCTTTTCACTTGCCAAGCATTCACGTACAAGGCTACTTTCTTCTCTTCGTCGACTAAAACAATCCAGAACAAGTACTTGAACGTGACCCCATCCCATCCACAATCAGGAATATCTACCAAGTCCAATGCAAATGATTTGCTCCATGAAAAGGCAGCATCAGTATCAATTTGATTGGTCACCCATATCTCAACCTTTAATGAATTAACTTCCCCAAATGCCAACGAGAGTTTTTCTTCTCTGATAACTGATAAAGCCGTCCAATCAAATTCTTTCAGAGATGGCGGAGGACACAGACGTCTATCTCTCTCTCTCGTAAAATCAAAACTGAATAAGATGGTGCCGGCGACACCATAAGCAACCCAGTAAGCATTTCCCTTCAGAGACACTCCATTTCCAAATCTTTTTATTTGGCATTCGCAACCATCAACATCACGAAGACGAACATCAAGAAGCTTCCTCCATGAATCAGATTTAAACTCATATATTGTAAACTCATAAACAGGTCTGGGTTCATGGACGTCATCATCCCAAATCTTCAAGATTTTGTAGCTACGGCCATGTTTATTGTTTTGGTATCCTAGAGCAAACTGCGAGAACCCTAACACGCAAGTAGTTTCGAGTTGGATCCACCTGGTTTCTCCTGAACAAGGATTATAAACCACAAGTTTACTGTCCTTGGTGGTGCATAACAACAAACCGTCGCAATGGAAAACTTTAGCTATATCGACTTGTTTCGAATTAGAATGGGAATCCTTTAGGTCAAGTGCACCTTTAAGCTCTATAGTTGGAGGAGCAACGTTGAGATTGACGCTCATTGAACAAATCTTATTATCCTTCATCATGAGAAGACGAGACTGCTTTGGAGCTTTACGAAAGTGCTTCTCGGTGAATCTTTCTTCTTTTATTAAAGCGTTCCATAGTTTGCAAGTAGTTCTAAATCGTTTGAGAGATGTGGCCGGAACCCTAGAGAGTATTTCCTCTACCAAATCCAGGGGAATATCTGACATATTTGTCTCTTTGCGATCTGATCTCTGTTTTGACTTTTTTAGTTTCACATTTCCTCCTAACCAATCTTGTCTCAATATATATAGATTCTGTTACTTAAGTTTACTCAGATATTTTTCCTAAGGTAAAGTTAAATTATCAATGCCAATCATAAAATGAAGATCTTTCTGCACTAGTGAATCATGAGTTGAAATTATACTATGATTTATGTATAATAATAAAATTGTTTACCAAAATCAAAATCTGAACGTAAAAGGTTAGATTTTAAATGTTATACTCTCTCTGTCCCATATTATAAACTGTTTTGGCATAATGTATCACAGCTTTACTCATGATATTAGTTTCATATTCATTTAAATTCTTCCACATGCTTAAAAATCTGTAAGAATCTATCAAACAGGAATAACAGAAGAACTAATTTAGTTACTCACTTCAAATATTTAATTGGATAACAATGGATTGCAAACTTTTCTAATTGAAAAATTGTAAATACAATAGCTAATAACACTAGATTTCAAACTCTTTAAACTCTATCAAAAACCAATAACACATTTTAATATTTACATTCAACTATTGAATAACAATGGATTATGGTTGTCTTTATACTCTATTAAAATTCATGGTTGAGTAACACCCCTAAATAATTTCCAAACCATATATATTCTGAAGTGTAACATTAAATAACACAAAATGCTTATCCTGTCTTGGAAAAATAGCATTAAGAAAAAAAAAATAAAAAAATGACTGTTTAAAAAAATATAGCAAAGATTTATCACAGCTTTAGGCCATTCATTGTCAGATGACTAGTAGTAGCACTCTTCCTCTTGAGTTTCCTCTGCTTAAACTTAACTTTAACATTAACCCCATTATCAATGATAGCTTGAAGCACGACCTCAAGCTTACCTTCCACTTTATCTCCTCTCCTAGGAGTGTATACAACGTCGTGTATGTCATCCTCCAAAGTCCTCTGCGCGAGGACTGTCCCAACCGCAGCGCAAGCCGCAGCGTTTCTTGTCGAACCGAGATCGAATTTCATGTCTTTCGAGATGGAATGAGCCACGGTCACAACCTTACTAGTCACCCTGTGAACCACACATGCTCGTACCGATGCCTTCGAGATGTAAATGTCCAAGCAAAACGGGTAGTGATAAGGAGCCGTGAGCTGGTTAAACGTAACCGTTCTCTCTCTCTTCTTCAACACTGCGTCGTCAAGCTGATCAGTTTCGCCGGTGAAAGTGTTGATCTTTGGCTCGTCGTCTCTCTTCTTGTACTCCTCACGAACTTCTTTACTCTTTGCTTTCGTCTCTGTTTCTTCTTGGTTGTTTTGCTGCTCTCTCCTTGTTTTCTGGTTGTTCTTGCGGTGGAAATCGTAGTTGTATTCCTCGAATTCTTTTGACCCTCGATCGAGCTTGTAGAAAAGATCGCCGCGGATTCTCATGTTATCGATTTCGTCGTGGTCAAGATGATCATGATCGGTTGCTTCTCCTCCATCTTGTGTTGTAAAGGAAGAACCTTTTGCAGTCTCTTCTGCTTGGAACTGTCTCCAAGCTTGTGATATTGATGATGAGACATTCCAAGCATCATCATCCACAGTTTCTATAGCACAACCACTCAAACCAGCCGCGTTTGAATCCTTTCCAGTTTCGCTGCTGGACAAACAGCGTGATGATACTCGGAAACGGGAGGTAAGATCCGGCAAACGGAGACTGATTCTTCTGAGAACCGCCAACGCCATTGAAGGAGAACAGAGACAGTTTCACAGAGGCAAATCGTCGAACAACTTGTGTGCAACGTGTCTCGCTGCTCTGTAAAATGGAATCACCGGCTTGTTTGATCAGATTCAAAGCAAAGATCTTTCAAAAGAAACCAGTGTGAATTAGATTTCTGTGAAGAAAATAAGAGTGAGAGAAGAAGACGATAGAGAAAGGAGAGATTTTTGACAAAGAGAAGCTGTCATTTTTAGATTAACAGAAAGATAAGTGGAATATTAGACATTACAGAGAGGAAGCAGAGAGGGAAAGTAAAGAGAGGGTTTTTATATGTTTGTAAACTAAATAAACACACACAAGAGAAGTAAATAGCTAAACTTACTACAGAGAGAGTTAAGGCTGCGAAAATATTACAGACAAAACGACGACGTAGAGAGACACAAGATGCAGAGAGTCACAAGTATCAGCGGTTGTTTCTGTTACCATCTTCCTTCTTTGATTGTCACACTTTGTCTAATTCAGTAGTAAGCTTGCTGATGGTGGGTGTGTTGGTGGTGCTGCTGATGGTAGTGCGGGTGGTAAACCGGAGGAGCTGGAGCAGGAACCGGACCGGTGCAATAACCGTTGTAAGCCGGGTAACCGATAGGAGAGCCTTGGTACGAGGCAGGGATAAGCTCAGGGGAGTAAGGATAAGGAGGGCTCCTGTTGCTGTAGACAGTGGTAGGTGGTGATTGGTAAGCAGCTGGTGAAGCGTACTGAGGAGAGTGAGACGGTGATCTGATGAACGGGAAAGAAGAGACGTATGCGTTTGTGATACGACCGGCTTTCGCTGGTGGCATTGGACCGTTGTAGCTGGCTCGGGTTCTCTTGTTTGCTGGTACGGCTGCTGGTTTCCTCTTCTCGGTTTTGGTTCTCTCTAGCTGATCCAAACGCTTCTTGAGGTTCTCTGGAGGGAAGTCTTGCTCGAGTTTGTACTCTTCTATGCATTTCAAGACCGCTCTAAGTGCTGATTGCTCCTTGCGCGCGAGATGCTGCTTAGAAAAGAAAACATGACATCATGGCCTCTCGTTAGATTGGTTCACAAAGATTTTAGCTTTTAGTAACGTAGTTGAAATAGAGAGATTACCGTAGGTCGGCTAGTATTGCTGGAGTCTTCCATGGTAGAGGCTGTTGTCTTCTTTGCGTCTCTTAGATAGGCTTTGAGCAGAGGAACAGGAGGGAACTTATCCACAAGGCCAACTTCATACGCAAAATGAACAGCGTCAAGCTGTTGTCCCCTGCTGATCAACTCTCCAATCATATCTGTGGAAACATAACGAGACAAGCCATCAATCATAAGTTCTGAAAACGAGATATAGAGAAAAGGCTTGAACTTCACACAGCCTAAACCTATCATCAGTTCTAATCTGCTACGAGCTCAGCTGCATACGCTTTGAAACATGACTAACTATACGAATTGCCTCAGAAAATCAGAAAGTGCCAAATCCTTTTTGGGGATGGTGTTATGTTATAGCCAAGAGCCATCTATCTATTCACAGATAAAAATTCAACTGAACAAGAAAAGACTTCTTCCACAAAGCAAGACGTAGTACCATCAACTAACATGTTGAACAAAAACCAGCATAGTCAAATGGGGTAAGCGATTCCATTTGTTTATCAGTTCAAGCCAGTTTCAATGGAGAAAGTTACCATTTCCGATGCAACGAAGCTAATCTTTATAAATATAACTTGACAGTAAGCATGGAAGAGATAAAAAAAGCATAAGAAAGTGGAAACGAAGAAGATGAGAGTTTGGCTTACCAGGCATTTGATCACCCAAACCAACAGAAACAGCAAGCTTTGGCATCTGTTTGCGCCACGCAGATCCAACGACAAGCTTTCTGTAGAGAGGAAGATCTTCTCTTTTAACAATTCCAAACGTGACAAGATGCAGCAGAAAAGTATGCACATCAGGAGTCTTCACATTCTCTATCCTTCCTCTCTCCTCCAAGCTCTTCTTCCACGTCTCTGCGATCTCTTTGGCCTTCTCCTTGACGCTCGGGGTAACAAGCAGCCGCGATTTCCCGATCACTGGATCGACCATTACAGGTGTCAAACTCTCCAGAATCACCACACAAGCCCATCCGAAATCGTTGCTCACTTTCTCTCCGGATGCTCTTTTGTCCACCGGAAAAACCTCGGAAATCGCGTCGAGCACTAACATCGCCGGATCTACACAATCGCCCAGCGCAGCCGGAATCTGTGACCGGAGATTCTCCAGTTCCTTTTTCCTCGCCGTCACGAAGCTCCAGAATCCTCTAGCGTCCATCTTCAAACAGAGCGATTTCAGTGCGGTGAGAAGCCCTTCGTCGTCATCGACCTCGCCGGAGTCGTCTCCATTTGAACCACCGTCTCTAGCTTTCTCAAGCGATTCCAGAGCAGCTCTGGCGCGTTTCCCAACTTTCCCAGCGACGATCTCAACACTCTGATCAATAGTAACCTCCCTACGCTTGAGTGACTCGAGCGAGGTCTGAGTCTGAGTATCTAGGGATTCAATCATCTGCTTCAGCGCTTCCGATTTCTTCATCAGGTTCTGCTCCAGAGAAGTGAAGTGATCGGAGAGCTCCTGCCACAGAAGAGTGCAGCTATTCATCAACGACGACTGTCTCTGAAACTCCTCGAAACTCGGCTGAGCTAACTCGGTCAACTCGCCTGGATCGGGGACCGACCCCATCGCCGGCGTAGAAAATAGAAGCTAACGATTTCAAACTCAGTCGATTCGATACAGCGAGAGAGAAAAAGCAATCTCGAAACAGTAGAGAGAAGGGAACGAAAGTGTTTTGGAGTGAAATTTGCAGAAAAACCGAGAAATGGCAAAAAGTAAGGGACGAAGATAAGAGACAAGAACAGTGACGTGGACAAGTCACAAGAGCGACACGTCTCAGTGGAGTCTGATTAAAGGCGCGATGCGCAAGTTAACTCATTTACGAGTGCTATTGTAAACGGAAGATGCGTAGGATAATAAGTAATACACTAATACTATGCTTCGCTTTATCGTATACCGAAGTTTAGATCGCTTAAAGAAAAAAAAGGTGAAAGGGATAAGTGGGCCAGGCCCACTGACCACCACATGCGTTGAGTCGGAAACCAGTGAAGCATTTGCCGGTTAAAAATATAAAATGTGAAATTGATAAAGTTAGGAAAAAAAATGTTTCTTCATAATTAAATCTTCTTCCATGGTATAATGTAAGAAGACACATGTGTATGAATGAAGAAGATCTTTAAAAGGCTGTAATGAATCAGTCACGCGTGACAACATTTGGACCGAATATTTGTGTGTTCTAAAAACGTGATAATTAAGCAAGCCACAAAGAGACTCATTACACATTTTACACTAGTATTTTATTAGTTTGCTAATCTTCGTACTGTAGTTAAACATCTTGTGATACCAAACAGAAGTCAGAAGCATAAGATAAAAAGAGATTTGAATTTGAATTATTAAAGCGATTTCGATTTTTCCCATCATTTAGAATTGACATATCCTACAAACTTTATTCTATGGATATGTACAAAATGTAAAACGGGACAATGACGTATAACCCATTATTGAAACATCCTTACTCTTTTCGTCCTCTTGGTAATACATTACCAATTTTAAAATTTTAATTATAAAAGTGTTACAAAAGTGATTAGAGAAACCAAACAAAACTAGAATGAGACGAAATTTGGGAATTGTCGACTAAAGATTATCGAATTAAATGGGTCCGCAATGGACGGCTACAAATTAACCGCCGTTTACTATTTACACTTTACAGAAAAAGTAAGGAGAGAAATTTGAAAATGCTGAAGGTTGAAATCGAACTCAAATGGGATAATGATTTAAATTCATGCACTCATTTGACATTTGTCTAGCTAGTCTTATAGTTAATTGCTAAACTAAGACATTGCTCAATCTAGAGTCTTTTTATATGTTTTGGTTAGTATGTTTAATTATTGAAAGCATTAACTCTTATATCGTACATTTATAAAATTTAAAACTACAACTGTTATGATGGTGCGTGGTGGCCAAACTTTTAATATATGCATGCATGTTAATAACATTTATTACCTGCAACTGCATCCTTAAATCAATGAATACATATACACAGTTGTCTTCAATTAGGAAAACATGTATACATCTATCAGAGAAATAACAATATTATCGAAACAGATTTAAAACTGCATTCGCTCTCATCTCATCTAGAAGGCACACAAATTTAAAATTAGAAGATGTTTGAGATGTCTTTCTAATTACGGGTAATGATGTACTCGTGGTCAAGAAAATGTAAATAAACTAAATATATTATTTACTCAAGAACTGAGTCGTGCCTGATTTAAACGACCCATAAGTTCTCGATTAGTGTTACGGTTTATCTTTATCACACGGCCTTAAACTGGAGTTGTATAAACTCCTTAACCAAATGGTTAGGTAAGCCAGAGAGAACCAAAGATCATATGAATACAGAAAAGAAAGTTTGGTCAGAGGCACTATAATTCGACGGTGTAGATCAGTAGATGAAGTTAACAACAAAAGTTGAGTAAAACTCATCAAAACCTTTATACCTAACTTGTCAACTGAACAGAGTCATAACAAATAAATAGGTAAAAAGAAACAAAATTTTACATAGTGGTTGCCAAAAGCCCCCACAAGATCCAATGCTTCTTATCTATTTTTTTTCATTCCAAAGTCATAAAGATTAAAACACTAAGAAGTTATATTACCTAGCTAGACACTACAATTGTTGTGACCAATCTAAGATATCAAATACATATACAATTATACAAATGCACTAAGACAACATTGTTTGGTTCAGTACTCACATTTGATAGATGTTTCTTCTCTTTATATCTCAATTTAAGCAGACACAACGTAAGCAACTATATCTATAGGGCATGTGAGTGAGCAAAAGATAAGAATCATTTACTTTTTATTAGCTGGCTAAAGGCTAAAGCCTAAAGAACAAGATTAAAGACATGAAAAAAGGGAAAGAAGAAACAAAATAAAAGCATAAAGCACTACCATCACAAGGATGTTGTGAAACAGAATCTCGTATATATCAGCCAACTGTGATTTAACGGTATTAGTCTATATGCAATGTGACAACTGAATCAAAGGGATCAGGAAAACCAAGAAATTCATCCATCTATTAAAAAAAACAACTTTGCTTTCTCCTTTAGAGTTTTTTTGGCTAAAAACTAAGAATCCAGAATCAAGGCAGTAAATACCTAGAAAGTAAAAGTGTACCTTTTGGCGGAGAACTATAATTTACTTTGATCCTGCGAGTTCTCTAAGGCTCTCGATAGTGGTCTTCTTCTTTGTGTCTATATCGACCTTGTCCAAGTCTGCTATGGTCGCGAGATAACCATAGAGGACCCTTTTCTTCTCACCCGTCCTATCATCAACTTCGACAAGACTACGGTTTTTCTCATCATCTTGGCCTGGAGTGAATGGTGATACCTTGGCCCAACTCTTACGCCCACGGTTCATCTTCTCAAAGCATTCCGCCATTCTCATGGCTTGCATGAGCCCTGAATCGTCTCCGGTAAACTTGAAGAGGGTAACTCCCAAATGACCTTCTCTTCCATACAGTGACTTTGATCTCCCACCAGTGATTTTTAGCTCTGTAATTATAGATAGACATCAAAACGGATGCAGGCAAAATGTGTCATCGCCTAGGCTAATTACTAGATACTAGTTTGAGCAGACTAATCATTAGCCTAATCACATTGCACATTTTGGAACCTACTGTGACTAACATAGCAGAAGTTCTGAAACTAGAAGCTGAGATCCTATAGAAAAGGCCAGTGAAATGGTGACCCAACGATGTTCTGTTGAAGAAGCTTATGTACTTCTTAGACCACCATTTACTAGATTCTGATATTGGAAGATAGTGAAAGAAATTTCAGGCCAGAGTTCGGCATTATTCTATGGCCATCCATAACAACTTCCGATTCAAAAAAAACACAGAGAAACAGAGGAGATAAATGGCCAGGGATCTAAGGAAAGTGAAGGATGTGCCTGTCTGCCTGAGAAGAAATGTCAGATGGTAATAAAATATTGTTAGGTGAAAGACTACTTAAGAGCACCTTCTGGGGCATCATTCTAGTGTTAGCAAAAGGAAGAGAGGGATTTGGACCTTGAACTTTCTTCTGAAAGATCAAGGAAGTGATTATTGTGGCACTTAGTTGGGATAACAAAGCGATGCCACATCATTAAGACTAGAGCAGTCATCTCTAAGGCTCTGGTTCTAAGTCCAATCGATGGAGATAACCTACTTTAAGTAAAATGAAGGGAAAAAAACAGTAAGGAGAATCCTCCTAAGGTGCAAGATTCATAAGTTTTCCAGATGGTGCTGCTCCGAAATGGAAACGCAAGAATAACGAACGAAAGGCCGCATGTTATACCTCTCATTCTGTTGTCCATTCTTTTGCTTCCAAGACCTTCCATGCGTCCATCTTTACCCTTCCCTGTACTTGTATTGTGAACAATAACATGAGGTGGCCAAATAATCAGCTGGTCTCGATTGATGGCTGCCACTTCAGCAGGTAGATTCTGGTACGCCTTTGAATTATCAGGAGCCTTTGAGAAATTCCATCCCATCAGTACACAGAGCGCTTTGTGTAGGCCTAAGTGACGCACGCGTGAGTTAGCATCATCAGAACAGTATGCGTGCATTACTAAACCATGTGTATCCTGGACGTCTGTAGGAGACCTGTGATTTAGCATAAGTCGAATTGGAAACACTCATTCAGAATCACCACACAAATTCTGCATACAGTAGTCTAAGGTTTAAAACTAAGGAGAATCAGAATCATATAGTTAATATCCTTTGTTGTGAACACTAAGACTATAGACTATACATAAACTTTAATGACTAAATGTGCAGAATGAAACTTATTAGACGAACAAGAATTCAAACGTATATGGAATAGCCAATGATAAACTCAAACTAGGGTATACGTAATGAAAGGAAAACATATAACATACAGAAAACGCACATAATAAACCGCTGCGCAATTATGTGGAGTACCATCATAACATTGCAGAAGGGTAAAAGACTATTAAAGAAAACAATAAAAGATTTAGAGAACTTCATTGTAACCGTTTACATTCAAAGTAACTTATTCTATGACATGTAAGAGCATTCAAAATAGATGAGTTGCTACTATAGTCTAGTAGTCTAGCATCCTTGACACTGAATGGTATGGCCATCTAAGCGACCATTCATTCATCATGCCAAACTAATTGACAACCTCCATCTAATTATCAAGCTAGACCAAATTTAGATGGCAGTGTGTACAAATACATAGACTTCTTGAGCCTTGCAATATCTACATCACCTAAAGAGTTAAGAGTATGAAGTCAGTCAACTTAACATGCTGGTATCATGGAGAAAGTTCCACGAATAACACTCATGAGCACTGAAAAAACCCTAACACTATAGATAATAAATAATCATGAATTCATGATAACAGTAGGAGTGTCACCTACCGCAAGCAAATTAAAAGGCAACCCAAAATTGCCCAACTCAGATTCCAAGTTGGCTTACTACTGATAACAGTAGAAGTATCACCTACCGCTAATAAGAAGGAGCAGTACCATGATTACAAAAATTGAATAGCAGCTATGTTCGATAAATAATCCAGATAAGAATAAACAGTAGGCCAGTAGGGCGGTTGGCTATAAAAAAACACAAATTAGCATAGGCATATCAGCATCCTAATTTTAATCAGCAGCAAAAAACTACCATTATACTGTACTAGGCATAAAAAATAAGCCTGCAAAAGACAAATGAGACCCGCAAAAAAAAAAATGAATATGATGTGGAACAAAGTTTAAAACAAATGAGATGCAACATTACTTCAGGATCCAGTGAATGATGGTAAAATTAACTGGATCAAAATATAGACTTTAAGCCAGGCTGCAGTAAGAAAACTCGCAAACTTTTACTGCTTGAAAGGCAGCAAAAGAGCAGTCAAGGTAGTAGTAGCAGGTGCAAAGAACGAGAAGTAAGTTGAATAACACCTAATATCAAAGTAATATCGCTGAGTTGAATAATCTAAGAGGCTTTTCGGTAGGGAATTTACCCAGATCATGGTAATGTTAAACATATGGTAAACAAGGAACAATATGAATGGAAGCAAACAACGTTAAGCTAATCAGGAATAGTACACAATTTGCTCTCAAAACAAGAAACACTAAAGCACAATTGAAGACACAATTTAACATACTAATCAAACCGAAAGTAACAAAATATTCCAGGTAGTTTTCTATTCTCTCTTACTTTCGTCATGTTCATTTAGCCATCTAAGACGCAATTGACCAACTAAAGCAACCACCAAGAACAAGTCAATAAGAGTCTCCAACACAAGCAAACTGCACCTAAGCAAAAAGCAAACACAAGAAAAAGATTGAAACCTGCCACAGACGAGACACTGAAGCCGGCCTTTACTCGCGTTCTCCAAGTAGTTCCTCTTCTCCGACGGGTCCTCATAAATTCGCTTAACAAAATCCAAAAACGACTTCTTTATCGCAGCCTGGTCATTGACCTGGAAATGCTTAGGCTCCTGACCTCCATGCTCATGTCTACTTGACCCTACCCGCATATGCTTAGCTGCTCTGGCATCTTCTCCAACATCTCGCCGGAACGGACTACTCGTCCCCGCCATAAGCGACTGATCATTATTAGGATTCGCGTAATGCATAAACTGCTGTCTTTGCCTCAGCATCTCACCTCTCTCGTCCCTCCTATCAAACTCTTCTTCACCTGGATATTTCCGTTTCATCGAACCTTCCAGGCGATCCCAGAGCTGTCGCTGATCTCGGAATTCTTCCGGGTGAAAGGGAGGGAATCGGCCAAACTCCGATCCCATAAATCTATTAGCAGCCGGATCAGCGAGCCGGCTTCGGGGAGGGAAGTCCTGGTAATTAGGCGGAAGCGCGAAGTAGGATCGAACACTTCCATCAACGAGAACGATCGTACGCCGCTCCAGCATATGGAACCCATAAGTCGGCGTAGGAGGAGCACCCAACGCCGCCGATGAATCTGGGAAAGGAAACGGAGCTGCCGGCAAAGGACGTGAAGATTGAGTTGTTGGATTAGGATGATGCGGACGGGATTGGTTCGGTACCGGAGCTAGCTTAGGAGAAGGATTCGGCTTCGGCAGTTTCGTATCGGAGTTTTTCTGGCCACCACCAGTCGTCGGCTTGCTATTGTGATTATTGTTGTTGTTGTTGCTATTCTTACTGATTCCACCATCGTTTTTGCTTGACGCCCAACGGGATTTAGGGTCATGGGAGGAAGAAGCAGCAGCAGCACCGGTTGGAGCGGATGACGCCGGAGGCTTATTCGTTAATGACTTGGTATTGTTGGCCCCGACCATCATCAATGGCCTCCTTCGATCTTAGTAATCTGATTCTACCTTCAAAGCAATTCGCTGGGAATGTTATTCGATCTGATAATGGAAGAATTGACTTCGAATTCGAGATTTTTTTTAGGTTTTTCTGTGAATTTCTGGACGATGATGATTCGGGCTCAAATCTCAATCATTGACGCGCGAGGAAGACGGAAATAACCTCTCGAGTCACGAAACGGCGCCGTAACACCATAAAAACGCTGTCGTTTATAAACATGCAGAAACAGAGCAAGTTACAGAGTAGATGTTACATCAACGGTTTAAGATACAAAACACTCTCCATCAACAGATTAATAGAAAGATGAAGCCATCATCTTCCGAAGTGTGTGATCTCTCCACTCTTTCACTTTTTGTTCATCGCGCTTTCTGCAAACGAACAGAGTCAAGATCCGAAAGGTTTGACTTTGACATTTTGGCAACATAAAACAGCTGAAGATGGTTCATGAGCTCGACGATAAAGAGTGAAATCTAGAGCTGGCTTGCGATTGCAAAGCTCTCAAGACCGTGACAAGACTCCTTTTGAGCTGCAAAATCCCAAAAGCAATCAAACCTCAACCATATGTTTTCAAACCTCAACGATCTTGCATTTCTACATGAAATTTATGCTAGCTTAGTGTGTATAGTAGATAGGATGTGGAGGGTAAGTCAAACCTTGGTATCGTCCCACCACGGCGATGATCATTCTCTGTCGCTTGACGTAGAGCTCTGGCAAAGGCCTTAAAGGTCGCCTCTATAATGTGATGAGAGTTTTCACCAGCAAGCTGTTGTAAGTTGTAACCAAACAATAGTTAAAAACACTCATGAAAAGGTCTCAAAATTATAGAAGAAAATGTTCATGAAACTGTTGCTTGCTTCTGGAAGATTTGAATGAACATACCTGCCGGATGTGAAGTGTCATACCGGAAGTATTCACCAATGACTGGAAAAAATGCTCCACCAACTACACCAAATGCAAAAGTTTACAATGCTTAGCAGAATTTTTCGATGATTACTATACAACGAATAGCACCCGAAAGATGAGACTAAAAGAAGATAACTCGAGGGATGAAGAACCTGAGTGTCGTAGTTTCCAACTCTCTGAGTAGGAATCTCCAAGTTGTAACCAAGATATGGTCTACCAGACAAGTCCTACAAAAGGTTTTTGTTCATTATAAGTAAGCAAGTTTGGGGAAATACCCACTAATGAACACAGATGTAACCAAAAGTTTCACAATTTCATACCAGGGTAACATGTATAAGCGCTTCATCTAGAGGAGCTGTGAAGTCACCAAACCGGTTAATCCCTTTACGCTCACCAAGGGCCTTTAACAGAGCCTAGATAAAACAACATAGCGTTGCTCAAAGGTCTAATAAGAGCCAAGAATGTGGCGGAAAGTGCTAAAGAAGATTGCAAAGCGAAAGACAGTAAGTAACACTTACTGTTCCAATGGCAAGAGCTATATCTTCATTAGTGTGATGATCATCGATGTGAACATCACCAGTGGCTCTTACGTGCACATCGAACAAGCCATGTGAAGCAAGTTGCTAACCAAGAAAGGACAAGGAGGTGAAACAGAAAAACACTAATCAACAAACTAATAATGAATCAAACAAGATCATTCCATTGAAATGGCCTGTGCTAAGCTCTATTTCAGGGGAAATTTATATCATAAAGGCTAGAATTGAACAAATCAAAATTAAGTAAAAAGGCAAAGACTTACATCTAGCATATGATCAAGGAAAGGAATTCCAGTAGAACTATCTGCAACTCCAGTGCCGTCCAAATTGATCTTCACTGACACATTCGTCTCCTTTGTTACTCTCTTCACTTCTCCAATTCGAGCTGATCGCATCACCCAAACAATCAAAAAGAGCCGTTTTTAATTTAGAACAAACACAAAACTTTACCATTAGAATCAATCAATGAAGAAATGAGCTTAAATTTCAGCCGTATCTAGTTCTAAAAACTGACCTGACACGACATAGGAAGAAGAAGAATTCGCCTGAGAAACGTTCTCTTTAGGAGAAGAAGAGCAGGAGATAGACTGGCGAGGCTGAGACTGAGATTCCATCCGCAAAAATCGAGGAATCGAAGGGGAAGAAACGATCGTCGCTCTCCGAGGAAACAAACCCTTAATCCCGATTTCAGCTTTCACAAGCTGAGCAGATGATTGACCAAACATGGCGGACGCAGACGACATCTCCATTTGTTGGCAGCTGAAAATGAAGAAGAAGACCCCACAGGAACAACAACAAGAGAGAGTAGACCACTTTGTATGCCAAACGACGACGCTTCGACTCTCCTTGAGCCAACAAATCAGAATCTCAGCTTTTAGATCAATTAACCGAACCGGTACATTAGAACCGGTAATCAAATTTGAACACTTTCGGTTAAGCAGCTGAAAATGAGAACTTTATTAGGATGAAAGTTTGATTGATTTCAGATTTCGGTTAAGTCTGTGTTAATTTAACGAAGTTTGAAGATTATTAACGAAGAAGACTGATGACAAAAGTTAAAAATTATGCAATAATTAGACTTTACATTTTCAAATTACAATCTCAATCATATATCGACGGCGTCGACCGGAAGCGAAATCGCTCTACAAAGAAGAGGCGGCGAAGCTGAGATCGCCGCCGGCGTCTCACTGATCGTCTTCTGATCTATAACTCTCGTAAGCTGAATGTTATGCCTCGCCTTAAGCCATCTCAATTCTCTCCTGATCTCATTCTCCGACCACCAATCACCACCGCCTCCTTTAACCTTCCCCGGACTCAAACTCAAACTCGCCGAGCTCTGTTCTTCTTCTCCGTCATCAGAACGCGAATCTCTCAACCCCCAAATATCCGCGTAATGAATCCCATTGTTACCTCCGACAACAACAACATCACCTCCTCCTCCTCCGTGTTGCTCTTGTCCTTCCATTTGGTAACTTATCTCCTCGAACCTTCCGTGAATCGAAGAACAATCGAACTGATGATGATGATGATGATTATGATGGTGGTGATGATGAGATTTTTCACCGGAAAGTTCGCTGTTTGATGATACAGTCTCTTGTATATACTCGTTCGAAGCACAATTCCCGCAGAATCCTCCTCCATTGTTCTCTGTAACATTGTGATCAACTCTCCAATCAGGGACTAACGCAGCGATCTCTGCATCGATCATCTCCGCGATCTTCGCAACGTCTTGATTCGTTATGTCGAGCTCAGACACCATCTCAGCTGCTACACTCCACGCCGTGTCAATCGCTGTCTCAAACGGGAAGTAAATGTTCCTTATCCGTCCTGTAAACATATAAAGTCCAAACCTTTATGAAAAGATTGAGACTTTGCAGATGAAACAGAGAAAAGATTGAAACTTTTGCTTTTTGGATTCAGTTACCTTCTGCATCAGAGATTCTGAGCCTTAAGAAGATCCCATCATGACCATTTCTCTTCCCTTTAATGGAAATGTCAACATGGTCGAAATCTTCCTCGTCATCGTCTTGAGCGAAGAGATCAATCTCACATATCTGTGACTCAAACTGTTCATCATGGTAAAGTGGAGTAGGATCGATGAGAGGTTGTCTAAGGAAGACGCCAGTCTCATCATAACCATTGTAGTAATCAATAGGTCTCATATCAAATCCATCCACATCTTCTTGCAAGAAAGGGTCTTGCAAAAGCTCCAAAGCCGTGAGCCTACACGTCACGTTAGCTAAACACTTCTCAACAAACTCACGAACCTCAGGGTCTTTCAATAAGTAAAAAGCTTCAGGCTTTTTCCCCTGAAATAATGAAGAGTGTTAAAAACAAGAACCGGCCTCAAATTAGCAAAAAGTGTTGATGTTCAATATCTTTTTACCGTGGTAACTTTCTTGTAGATTTGTGCAGGGTGTGTACATTCGCTGTAAGGATAATCGAAAGTTACCATCTCCAATACACACATTCCAAAGGCATATACATCAACCAACTCATTGTATTCTTCATCGTACACTTCAGGAGCCATGAACTCAGGGGTCCCTTTAAACATCATAAGGTAGGTCCAAAGTGTTTTTTCAAAACATTATTAATGAAGCCAATAAAGTTGTTTAAGGTTTGTAGAATCCAATAATGTGATGAAGTTTTGTACCAACACAGCGAACGGCATGTGATTTACGAAGAATGGCAGCGAGACCGAGGTCACCGATCTTGACTTCACCTTGGTTTCCATTGATAAAGATGTTGTCACATTTTAGATCTCTATGGATAATTGGAGGAGAACGGCTGTGAAGATAGAGTAGCCCTTTTAGAATCTGCTTACACCATTGCTTCACTGCTTTGATATTCACTCTTCTATGTCTCAACCTGTACCTATACAAAAACATCATGAAAGTCTTAAAAAGATTTGAACTTTGAAGTACCCATTTCAGATTTTGGATTAAGAATATGAAACCAATGTCACAAAGACATATGACTGAAGAAACACTTACTGTCTGAGAGTGCCAGAGGTGAAGAGCTCAGTGACGAAATTGATGGACAAGTTGTTGGTATCAACCCAAGAAGTGTAGAATTTCATGATGTTTTGATGATTCAAGGTCTTAAGAAGATGAATCTCTCTGAAGAATTTCTCCAATTCCTCTGGATTCCTTGTGAAATTCCGAAGCTTCAGTTGGTTCCATGCCACTTCTATACCTTCGTACTCATCAAACGCTCTGTACCTGAAATTTGAACCAAAACAAGAACAGTGTTTTGGATTAAGTAACCAATTTTATTTAAACAATTAAAAATTGAGTTTTTTTAACGTTGTGACGCTACAGAAAAAAACGTTTTCCACAAAGAAAAACAAAGAGAGAAGACAAATGCAATTACACTGTCTTCGAAGCGCCTTTGCCAAGTATTTCATCGTACTGACCAAAAACAAAAATTAAAATCAAATCTTTTGGAAAACAAAGGATGAAATTTTACTCATTTCAGAATTCAGAAGAATCATACTCTTCCATATCTTCCAGAAGGATCGATTTCAACAAACTCAAAGCAATCTTCAACGAAGCTTTCTTCTCCATTCATGCTTCCTCTTCTTCTTCTCCTTCTGCAATTTTAGTTTTTTTTTTGTGGGTCTATTTATTCTTGAGCTAGAGATGTTGGAATTTGTGGAGATGGTAGAAGAAGAAGAAAAAGATTAAATTTTTTTAAAAAAGAATATAAGGAAACAAGTGGTTTTTTCTTTAGATGCCCACCTAAGTGACAAACAAGCAGCGACAACAGGTTAGGCTTCTCACCCAATCACCTTTCACCAACACCACGCGTCGGTTTAACGTTTTCACAAAACCGGTTTTTTCAGTTTTTAATTTCGGTTTATACAACTCATATAAGTACCAAACCGTACTATTTTGGAATTAATTGAAAATGGCATTCAACTAACCTCAACTCACGCCAGTACGAACTTTAACAAAAAAATTGTCAATTCATTCCAAATTTTGGACGAATTTTGAGTTTTTGGTAAGCTGATATTTGTGGAAATTTAATGACTTGTTTGACAATTATGGTCAGATTATACCACTTGTGTGGGAGGTGTGAACAAAAGAATCTAAACAGAGAATTTAAGACCACATACATTAGCATTTGCGTTTTTGAGTAACGCTAAATTCCAAGAACCGGATCATTCCAAAATTGAAGAACCCGGTACGGTACGTCACTAACCGAGGGAAATGCAAATAAAGACAAAATTCGTTGGTTTATTGACACTTGTTGTGTGTAAAGGTTTTGTCGTGTAGTGAAGCTAGTTAATGTCACGGGTTGTGAGAAAGGGAAAGAGAAGGCACATGGGACTGTGTCACGGCTACACAGAAGTCTCCTTTTTTTATGATGATGGTGTTAAGATTTTAGACACTTGGACCAACTATAAACTCTATACTTTTGTACTATCTTTCTTATTCACATGCACGTAACATGCTCCTCATCTAGTGAAAATTCATCTTTTTCTACGTTTTGAGGTTATGCAAGGCGAAAACATAAACGAAGATCAAGAATTGAAATGTGAAACGTACAGAATCTTGGTAAACATTTTTATAAATGAATTGACCAAGAAAAAAAAAATTATGAAGTTATGAAACCACACGGATTGAAAAGTATACCAAGTTTTTTGGATTATTAGTTGTAGGCTTGTGAAGATTGTTCTAACTTTTAAGATGTCGTAATCTACATTGATTGCTGAATTGTCTTCTAAACCATGTTACTACAAAGAAGAAATAAAATTCAAGATTAGGTACGGGCTACGTACAGCCTACATGCTAGCGGAGAAATACATGAATTACCATTCTTGTTTTAAAAAAAAAAAATCTAGACGACTTCTATTGTCAATATAGATTGTTTCGCTGTTCTCGGCTAAGAGATCAGCTCTGTTCTGATGGACTTTGTTCGTATCTTTGTATGGCTCCGCCGCAGCTTCGCCGGGTATGGATGAATATTATTCAATCTACACATTTATACCGGTTAACACAATTTATCGTCTACAAGAATATATACATCCCGCCTCACGCTAAAATATATGCTCCGACTTTATGTCGAAGACAACATCTCTCTCCGTTAAGTCTATCTCGATATTAGCATTAGAAAACAAAAATTGAAGAAGAAAAATATCTACAAGAATTTTAAACTAAGATTTTCTTAGAAAAGAAAAGTGACTTTTCCTAAATTGTTGACTGTCTAAAGAACAACCGACTTGATATACCAACAGGCAACAATAATAAATTAATAGTAAAATTTCAAAGGTATTCAATATTTTTAAAATTCTAAACATATATCAAATTATAACTATTCCATTGAAATTGTCAGTTTCATATGTATTTGTTTATGAACTTAAATCTCCTCTCTTGTTCCTTTAGAAGGTTTAGCAAGATCTTGGTCGACATCTAGGAAAAAGATCAGCTAGTTGCATCTGGACTGTGGAGTGGTTTTCTTGATTCGACTCTGTTTCACTTTAATCTTGTTTTGTAATTGAGATTTTAAAAAGGGTTTTAGGGAACATGAGAAGATAAACAATAAGTTAAATATGTTCCACTGGCGGACCAAACTTCGATCTCTTTTAGCGACTAGCTATCGTAATGTTACTATTACACTAACTTCTTCCCTTCTTTTTTTTGTCGGCAATGATCTTTTATAACTTTGGATCGACCTAGAATTTTTTTATTCTGTCACATTTAAAATTTTTAGACATGTGTGCATGCCGTTTTGTGTCCTCCTCTTCATATGATTGGGGTGTGACTATATTTTAATTCAAGAAACATTTCACTTACTTGCTGAGGCTTTGTTTCGTCACCTTTTCCATAACATGTTTGGTACTTCACATTAGGAAGAATGAATTTGCTCAATTGTTTCTATATAATCGTTATGTTTTTATCATAACCTCGTATTTCTAATCACTCTTAGAAACATGGAAAGAAACAAAAAAACTATTCACGACTTCACCCATCGTGCCACTGCCATAGCATGCTCGTTTTTAGTGCAATTAAGAAAACTCAACGTCCTATATAAGAACTTATCTTGTCTAACATTTTGCCAAAACATGTCCCTAAGACCATAATTAACCATAAAGTAAGTCTCACATAGTCACATAAATCTACTGTTGGTGTCACTGTCACTTACATATATTAAAAAATTATCTCTTACAAGACTCTTTTGCTGAAATTAATTTCAATACGTTTGCTAGTTTTTTCTCTGCATTGTTCATAATGAGAACGAAAAAAAACAACTAAACATCTTAGGTAATCTTGATTAAGAAAACTCAAACGATAGACATTTGGCCACCGGAATGAATGTTTTGATGTAATCCACACCTTCGGCACCTAATGTGGTGGCCTTACTCTTATGCCAGAAGAATGGTCTGGTTTCATTTGGTTTATCAGCCAAACCAAAACTAAATTACAATGTAATGTCTAAATCATTACATTCTTTGTTTGGTTGTTCTTTGTGACAAAACAAAATAAGCTTTGTCCCCTTTTTTTCTCTAAAGAATGATATAGTACTTCAGGTTATAAATAACGAATAAGAAATACAAAATGAAATCTATCGTAATTTTCCAAATTCCAACTAACGTCAACCCAACCGACACAAGCCAAACAGTCTCCACGACAATTCTACTCCTATTCACCCTCCTTTCCTAATCAACCTTTATCTTTTCTATGTCTACCAATAATAAACACATATGCTTTTTTGTTACGCAGGCATATCATACACATATACATTTTCATATACACAATGATCATGTTCATAGCTAATTATTTATTGGAACAATGCAATTTATATACCGACATTTTAAGTATGTTTTATAATATTAGTCGATATAGAGAATACGAACCGTATGGGAAAAGAGAACCTCTGTGTTTTATATTATATGTACAAGTGAGAGAAAAACATATATATGAATCATGTCGGTAACAAGTTTCTTCTTCGTTTCGTCATTGAGCATGAACATTCAATATATATGAAACCCTCTGAATCAAAAAGAGAGTTTTGGAACAATAATGAAATGGAGAGATCTTATTGTTTGGGTTGCAGAGTGTGTGGGTGAGACTCCACGAGTATAGACCACAAAACATGAACATCATCGTATGGGCATGACTTCACGTCCTCGTATAATATGTATATTCCTCTTCCTGCACATTTTCCATCTTTTTACATCAACACAAAGATATCCTCATATTGCAAGCAAATAATTCATTTTCATATTCTTCCATCAGAAAGAGTACATGATCCATGGAACCAAAAAATAGAGTATGTGATTCACACATATGTGTGAATACCTAATGCGGGAAAATATATATAGAATGTAGCGAAAGAGAGAGAGAGCATACTCTTCTTTTGAGCAGAATTGACGCGAAACCAAAGTTTCTTCATGGGAGAGAAGAAGGAATGGAGCCAACCCATTTCTCTCATTCAGTGCCTGAGGCTCTTGCAAATATGGAATATTAATTACACTTATGTTTATATATATAGCTCAATATGCGTATAAATAACATATATGGACCCAACTCAAGAAACCAAACCAATCATAGTGCTCCACCTTGGAAAATGAAGAATGAAGGCAGCCACATCAACGTGTTTTATATGTTTCTTTTTTTAAGTATGGCCCAAGCCACCATCTCCATCTTTCTCTCCTTTCTTTTTTTTTCTTTTTTCTTTTACTTTTTAATATTTCACCATACAAATATATATATTAAATAATTTTCAAATACTTTTAACCGTGACACATGGATCCCAGCTCGATTAAATGTAGTAGTTTATTAGGATTTTGTTCATGAGTTTTGATGATGTATAACGCAATGTCCAGGAAGAATGATGAAACTGTGACTTAATGTTTTGTTGTGATGGGGTCTCTTTGGTATTGGGTGTTTGTCAAACATCTTTCTCTCTCTGTGTCTTTTTTTTAAGGTCACTTGTGCCTCAAGAACAATTCGATTTCACCTATCATGTTTTCTCTTCACACTTCTGCTTTCTTATATATTTTTTTATTCGAATGAATTTGCCACCTTATATTTTCTCAATGCTACATACGCATATGTCCAATATTGTAACGTATTAGCAGCAGTAGAAATAAACAATTCTCTAGAGATTTTTGACTAGGCTTTTTCTTTAGTGAACATGTTTGTTGACCAAATTAACTTTTTTTAATTTTTTTTGGTAAAAGACCAAATTAACTTTACACTTATAGGCAAGTAGTCTTGTTAGTAACTGTGTAACTTGAATATATATTGCTCAAGACATATAAAAATGCTTGTTATATTTGATGTGCAGTTGTATATATTAATTTCAATGTAATTAATTTAGAGCATTTTTTGTAATGATCGATGCATTTTCTAGAAAATCAAAAAAAAAATTCTTCACCTAGCCGTCTGTAATTGCACTGGTGGTGAAAATTAGTAGACTATAAATTAGTCTGTTTAAGTCTCCTGTCCAAAAAAATTATGGCCCTCTTCTCTAAAGCAAAATTAAACTTTTACTAATTCAGGTACAAGATCTAATTATGGAGAACATGACACTTGCTAGATCCTCACTGTTCTATTAGTCATTTTAAACAATAAAGCTGTCATATCAAATTTACTTTCAGTACAGAAAGAAAACTCATACAACCATCACCACTAGATTTTCTTTATAAATAGTACTACATTTTCGTTTTTATTATAATGACTATCTACTAAATTGTCTCTTTTAAGTTTAATGATTTTTAGGACATATATAAATTCAAAAATAATGGTCAGTGAAGCAATGATAATCAAATGTTTATTAAATTGATATGGTCTTCGGCCCCGCAAAAGAAGTGCGTGTGGCCAGTCTCAGTAAACTACAAAATTGTAGATTCGTGTTAAAAGATACACTAATTTGGACCAACCTCTAAAGATGATTATACTTAGGAGAAAACAATGAAATAAAATTGAAGGAAGAGTAAATTTGGAAGCAAATGACAAATGTGGAGAGACAGCTTTTGTAATGTTAGGGTGCCTTAGAAGTCGTCAATCTTCCTTGCTTCAAAATCAACCTCACCAAAACCACCATTCCTACACACATACATACACGTATATGGATAACTTACCATTATGTTTGGGATATCTTTTTATGTAAAAAATTAAAACATATGGGTTCCTTTTGAGTATACTTGGAATAAGAACGAGTGATTATGATTAAACGGCTCAATTTGTCAAGATAAGACTACCTAAAAATTAACACCTTTTTGCATAATTGTCATTTCAGTATGTTTACACTTAAGAATTTACTCAACTCTGCACACACAACAAACAAAACATGTGTTGTGTGAGCCCAAAAAAGACATTATCATATCGATGATCAGCAGACTCTACAAGCAGGCCCATTAAAGGCGTAACCTTAAATTGTCTCGTCTGCAAGAGTGCTTGCGATTCTCCAAATTTTTCAGTGAAATAAAATTTAAATCTTACTATATTTAACAGGATAATCTTCCCGCTTTATTTAGACCATTTAAAAACAAAAACAAAAAAACATCTTCTTCTATAATGACTTGACAAGTCAGCTTTTCACCCCCATGGCTGATGACCCACCCCATCTTTTCTTTTTTATACAAACTTTAAAAAATGCTAAGCTATTGTTCATTCTATTAATTGTCATTTGAAATTGCACATCAAAATAGTAAAATACTAAAATCAACTATCAAAGTCGTTTCTCCCAAAATTGTCCCACCTAGTTAACTTCTTAAAACGAGCCATCAACCCAAATTCTCCCTAGTCATCAAGCATCATAATTACATAATCACTTTGCCTTACCGACCCACCACTTCCACATTGTAAATGGAATAGTGAGGACCATCGATGCAAAAAAAAAATAGATATTTAGATTTCAAATTTTGAAAAGTAGGTAAAATTTCCATCTTCAATCATATACATTTTTCATATAAATTTTAGTGAACAAATATTATAGATAATAAGTCCAAAAATATACCAAAATGTGAAATGCAACTGTATATCTCCTCCAACTGATATTAGAAATTTTAAATTTCACATTTTAGTTTAAAAAGTGAATATCATAGCTATATATGTCATACATTGTCATATATTTACTTGATTTTAATTTTGAAAATCCTCAATACCAATCTCAAAATTTCGAATACTAGCGTATGAGAGTAAAGTGTGATAGTATTAATCTACTTGAGATAGAGAAGACAAGGAATATAAATATGTATTCTCTCAGAAGCTAAGCTAACCTAAAGGCTAAAGCTATCAATCTCTATAGTCTTTAATTTGATCATTATATCTAAAGTAGCCGTCCAAGTAAGCTTATTTTATTTGTCACGGTGTTTAACGATTTTCTTGTGCATTCCTTGTGACATTTGGAGTTAATATAGAGGAGATCATCAATTTCTCTTATCTTTTTGACTTTATTTGTCGGTGTGTGGACATTAGACAGAAAGCATTAGCAACGAGCACGTGAACTTGCTCTTTTGTGTCATCTTTGCGTTTGACGCGTGGATATATAACTGGATTATTGTGTGAATTTACAACTACTAAACACACATACGAACAAGTCGCCGCCGTGACGACAACGGTCTCTTTGTTTCAAGAATATATTTACTCTCACTGTTGTCTTTTGTAGTAAAGACCGACCAGTAAAATAAAGGGCTTCTAGTTAATGAAACAATCATGTACTTCAACGAGTGTTTCTGTTCTTTTAAACACCCAAAAGTAATTAACTAGTATTTGTGGATTTTGTAAAGTAATCTGGTTAATTTTTGGTATAGAAGAAAATGTTTATCTTTTAATTTTTTTGCCATATGGAAGACGTAGGGTAGAACAGCTATACATTGCACCTAGCTAGGATCAAAATGTGAAGTAAGACTGTAAAGAGTAAAAAGAATAGTAAAAATTAGTCACATCAACAATTTCTGTAAAAATGTTAGATTTTCAAAATTAAGTGGATGTGATTCTCGTTTTTTTTCAATTGAAATCTGGTTCACGCATTCACGGATATACGTTCAAATTTCTTTGTAGAAGAAGTAACTTATGAATAGAGTATATATGTTATTGATTGTATGGGTTCGCCACTTGAAAATCATCTTATTTATTTTGTTTGATATATTTTAAAAATGTGTTTAGTGTGAATGGAATTGGTTATTTCATCCTTATATCCGAGTTGTAGAAAATTAAATTCAGTTTAGTATAAAGTTAATCACTAATGGTATCAGGCTATGAACTTAGGATTCTAATTGCGGCAAAAGCATTTAATTGGCTATCGTCAGTTTCGATCATTTTGTTAAGTACTTGTGCTAGGTACGCGTAACATAGACGTTGACTATATATATGAACTAGGTGTTACGTGTGTACAGTAGAACCTCTATAAAGTAATATTCGATAAAGTAATACCTCGATAAATGAATAGAATTTTTGAATCCCAAATTAAGTTTTTGGTCTAATTATCTCTCGATAAATTAATAATCTCGCTAAAGTAATAAAATATTAGAATCCCATCGTTATTAATTTATAGAGGTTTTACTGTATGTTCGTTTCTATTCAATTATCATCATACTCTACAACTACAAGTTCCATCCCTAATGATTTACCTAGGCTAGAGAAACCGTCTAAATCATGTAACTTATATTAAAATCGATTGCGTACAAATATTAAAAATATTGATCAAATAATCATATGAAAACGAGACCGTGAATACATAGGATAGTGTACTCAACTTGCAAGAGCTTTGTAAGTACTCTGAGGACAATAAAAAGGATGATTAAGAGATAAACAAACATTTGACCCACACCAATCAGTAGTTAAGTTTACACAAACGGAGCCATTTAACGGCGTTACACATTGTCACTGGCGGCCAACGGTTTCTTACACATCGACGTCACAAAACGACATAACGGCGTCATCAGCCAATAACTCCTCCGACATATGTAAGTTTTGGGCAGAAACCGTTTCCACAACACAACATAAAAAAATCTATCTCTTTCTCTGTTGACTCTCTCTATATAGAGAGAGAAAGATACAAAGGTTTTTGCTCGTAGAAAGAAACTTGCGGTACATGCACACACATATAGAATCCAATATTTTTTGTTTTCTTTCATCATCTTCCTCTGCTCACTAACTCTTCGTAATTCTCAAAGAAAAAAAAAACAGAACAAAGAGATCATCATCAAGCATCAAGAAATGGGCAAGAAAGATGAGAAAGTCGAAGCTGTTCTTCATTTGATAAGGAAACAATATCCACTCACTGTTAAACAAGTAAGTCTAACTTAATAAACACATATATCTGCATGTTTATTGTATATATTTCAGAAATTTAATTAGCTCCAATCTTCATACATTTGGTTTTTTTGGATGAGCAGGAGAAATTCTGTAACAGAGAGTGTGTGGAGAGATTCTTGAAAGGGAAAGGAGAAAACATGAAAAAAACTGCGAAACAACTAATTTCGTGCCTTTCTTGGAGACAAAACATCGATATTGGTAAATTTTCTATTTACCTTCAAACTTGGCAAATGGTTTTGTTTTGTATATATGTCTTTTTGTTACATGGACTACTATTCTTGTATTAATAATTATTTCTCATATATGAATAATTCAAGAGCGATTGGGAGCAGAGGAATTCTCGACGGAGCTTGCCGACGGTGTAGCCTACATCGCCGGCCACGACGGAGAATCCAGACCCGTTATCGTAATTTCTTCATAATCCATCTTGATTACATATGAGAACATACTACTAATGTCAGTGAATGATAACAAAGTGAAGCTTGTTTTACAGATTTTCCGTTTCAAACATGATTATCAAAAGTTGCGTACACAGAAACAGTAAGTTCAGATAATTTTACATTTTTACTAAAACCAATACATTATGTTGATATTCTTCAAAATGAAAATTAGTAGTTTTCTATTTTGAGCTAGCGTTGAAGATTTATATTTTTGTGTTGAAGATTTACGCGTTTGGTGGCGTTCACGATGGAAACTGCGATTTCGAGCATGTCCAGAAACGCGGAACAGAGCTTTGTTATTCTCTTCGATGCAAGTAAGTAAAGCCTTACAGTCTTTGGCAAATTATCAGTTTGTCCTTCATAATGTTCCAAATCTCCGTGAATAGAGTCTGTACTAATGCATAGTTTCATGGCCGTATTTTTGGGTTTTGTTTGGTTTTGGTTTTCTTTATTTTGGATTGAGGCGTGTCGGGGACCGGACTTTCGGACATGTATGTGCATTTAATTTGATGTCCGAATTGTCTCCTTTATGTGTCAACGTCAACTTTCCTTTGTAAATTAATCCACAAAGCATGTTGCAATTACGGCTAATCTCAAATTTCTTCACCATGATTTCATTTTTCTTGTTGAAAGAATTTAAGTAGGTTTTTATTTTCAATAAAGAAAGAAAATAATTGAAAACTCTTTCTATTGTTTTTTGTTTACTGCAAATTTACAACTCTTTATATTTTTAACTCCTCATCTTTATAATTTCCAGTTTCCACATCACTTTTTTTTTCTTGTAACTGCAAAACTACTATTTAAATTTGAAAAAAAAAAAAATCAACTTATAAAAATGTTGTCCAGCTGTTGGCTCATGTCTTGTTAAGACTTTAAAAAAGTACTGTTCTTAAAAAAGGTTTACAAAGACCAATATCTTTACCATAATAAAGAAGAGTTAATAACTTAATATGGTAACAATTCACGCTTTCAAAGATTCATGCTTTTTAGTCCTGCACAAAAGTTATCTCACGTTTCTGATAGTCATTCTTTTGAAAGAAAACCAAGTACAATTATTCTCTGCAAAAATACATCTTTAAATTTTGTTCAAAGTTCAAACCCAATTAGACAAACAATTATTAGTTCCACTTGATTAATATTCTCTTTGTTTTCTTCTTAATGCCATACAAAAAAAAACAGGCTTTTTCAGATCATCCTCTGCCTTTGCAAATTTGCTTTTGGCGACCCTCAAAATCATCGCAGATTATTACCCATGCCGACTTTACAAGTCCTTTATCATCGATCCTCCCTCTTTTTTCTCTTACATTTGGAAGGTAAATCATATTTTAATTAAAGTTAAATTTAACAATAACCGTAAATGAAATTATATGGATAAACTCGTTCGTGCTTAATTAACAGGGTGTTCGTCCGTTCGTGGAGCTATCAACGGTAACGATGATAGTCTCGTCGCTGGACTACGACGAGCAGTTCAATATCAGCCACGTGTCATCATCATATCCTAGGTCAGCATCTCTACGTTTCGATGCATCGTCGATCAAATCAACGGCCACGATTGGTTCAGCTTCTTCAAGATTCGCCTTCACCGTATCTCAGCACCATGATTCCTTGAAGCCGTGGTACCTTTCCTTCACCGACACGTCTCCTTTCAACGCCGCCGTCGACTACTCCACCGCATCCAAAGTTTCGCCTCTCAGCGCGCGGTCGTTATCTTTCGCGTCTCCGGCGGCGCGTGGTTTCAGAGACGCGAAACCAGCGGCATGCAGAAAGAGTCTTTTCGCGTCGACGCCGTTGCCGGAGAAGACAAAAACGGTGATGTATCCGAAAACTCCACGTCCGTCGTTTTTTCAGTCTCCGGCGATGTTTTTTCGCGGCGAGAAAAATGTCGGAGGAGGAGGCGAGAAGTCACGTGAAGCGTTCGTACCGTATCTTAAGTTTTACCGCAGACCGTACGATGAGACGGCCTATAGGTCTAAGCTGCGGGGTCCACGTGGATTTGTGTCAGTCGTGTCTTCGCATAGAAGATGTCGCCACGTGTCTTTTTCTCAACGGTTCTGATAATTAGTTAAAAGACAAGATTGGGAACGAGAGTATATACATTTAATCTGTCCGAATAGTCTTTTTTAAGACAAGCAATTTATAAGTATCCAATGAGATATTTCTTTTAAAACTATAGTACTACAATTTGTGACGGCTCGAAAAACAAAAAATTTACTGGGATAAATTTTAACACAAGATTGTATGAGAAAAAAGACGATGATAATTTCTCTAAGATCAATGCATTTTAATAGTTAAAGAAATTCATAAACTGCCACTTTATTTATGAGGAGAATCTTTTTAAAGAGATGAAGAATCTCATCATGATCGTCATCATAAGTTTTTTACTATTTCAGTAACTTTAAACTGTAGTATAAAATTACCCCAATTAATGAAAAGTCAGTATTCAGTGTTCACCGTCGTTGACATTGCCGTCACATCTCCGGTCATATCGAGTATCGACCAACAAAGTCATCGTTGTGCTGCCATCACTTATTGAATGCTACATGCATCTGTGTTTTTTAATCGTTTTCTTCTGATTTATCTCTGATCAAGATATTTCAGCGGCCATTTCAAAAGATTTACAGTTTTTTCAAATTCAAACACCTTGACGCAGCAAACTGATGTCAAATCCACGTAAAGATTTCAGTAGTAAGCTAATTATATAAATGAAGCGCCTTGCAAGTTGCAACAAAAATATGATGGCAGTCAAATATGGTGATAACCAGCCTTATCTCTACCCTACGAATTTTAAAAAAAAAAACATATTCAACCGTTCTGCTAATGATCATACATATCAACATCTGATTTGATCCATTTAGTTAACTACAATTTTTAAAATTCGAAATTACGTTAGCTTGAGAAAAGTCAATGGAGGCACATCTTTGAACTTTTATAACCTACATCCCCCCCATGATATGCATATATACTGTGCATGAGCTATGAACTATGAACTATGAACCACACTGAATTTCCTTGTTATCTTTATATACACTAGTTATCAAACCGATTTAGGAGACATATCAAAGATCTTTGTGTGTGGTTAATTCAATGTTATAGGCGTTGATTTTGACGATGCGTTTTTTGAGAAAAGAGAACGGAAAGACCTCTTTGTGGAGATCAAATGCTGCTACCAAGGATCATTAACTTCATGTTAAATTCCGAACTTGAAAAAAACAAAACCTTAAAATGCACGTGTGACGAATTTGTTGGAGTTGGAAGTCATTGAATGTTGGTTTTTAAGACAGCGTGGTCGTAACGTTGAACAATTTATCAAACAGAATAAAATTCTCAATGTGATTTTTGAGTTAAATGCACTTTGCATTTATTGACCAAAAAAATTAATATGTCTCCAATCGATGACATCGAATTGAAAAATATGTTCATTGTTCAGTATCAAAAACGGGTTGCCACTTTTGTATACCCAAATGCGATAAAAAATGATTACTAAATGCCTTATAATGTGGTCCTCTACGTTTGATGTTCTTTCGCAGAGAAAAAAAAACTTTATCAAACTTTCATAGAGATTCGTAAAATATAGCTTTAATTTATATCTTATGAGATTTTGTTCCGTGATGATACTAAAGATAAACACTTAAAACTTCCCTTATAAATTTGATATATTTCGACGAATACAATCACTTATGACTGACCAGGTTAATGATATGACATATGAACAGTGGAGAAAATCAGAAAACACACACACACAAATCCAAAAACAAAAAACGACTTAAAGAAATAGAGACGACCACATAATTATGGACTGAAGAACAAAGAAAAAAGATCATCTCTAGATTGAGACACTGTTAGGGATCCCTTTCCCGGTAAGGCCACTTTCTCTCGTGTAATCAGTAGTATTCGGGTACAACAAAGTGTACGGAATGTTAACCGGTCCGGTCCGATTCTTGAGTCTCTTGTCATTATTTCTCCGTATAATGTTGTTTTCTATCAACTCCAGACTCTTCCCAAACCGCTTAAACGCCTCCAAAGGCTCATCATCCGCCGTCCAGTTCGGTGAATCTCTCTGTCCCAAATAAATCTCATCCGTCGAATGCATCGACAGGATCTCTATGATGGAGATCCCAAGAAGAGTCTGCAACTGAGGCGTGATCGTCTTCAAGAACGCCACGTCAGGGTCTTCCGAGAGCTCAGTGTACTCATCCGTACCCGGTTCTGGCATAAACTTGCGGCTTACGGTAGGTCGGTTAGGTAAAAAACCGGCGTAAGGGTATTGCCCGAAGTTGACTGCTGCGTGAAGAGCAGACGCGATCCAGATTATGATGGTGCATGTTTCGATGAGGTCGTCGCGGGTTTGCATTGAAGGCCACCATGGCTCGTGCTGTTTGTCGCCGTGGCCTTTGGTTCGGAGCTCGGTCCACCATGATTGGATCTCTGTATCGGTTTGGACGGTTTTATCATTCTTGTAGTAGAACGAGCAGTAATCTGTCACCCACGCTTTGATCGCTGACCAAATCTCTAAACCGTCGACTGCAAACGGATAGTCCTCGATCAGAAGCTTAACGCCGGTATCGCTCCTGAAATCTTCAACAACAACTCCTCTGCAAAAACAGGGGTTTCTAAGGTTACTTGTTTCACAAGATAAAGGTTACTTAGGTCACAAGATAGAAATGAACTTGATTGTGTACCGTTTGAGGAGATCTTTAGGGAGAGCCTGCTCGGTGAAATTCCAGCTCTTGTAAATTGAAGACGACATTTCCATGGCGTAACGACTTGGGAAGACTGTTCGCTCAAGAACTCCATCTGCATTTATGAGGATATGTCGCGCCAATGCATTGATGTTCATCGTGTCACGGAAATGAGGATGAAGAAGCTTATAAATCGGATGGACCACACTTAGTTGCCTATTCGACGCGATTATGAACGGTTCAATCACCGCATGCGTTTGTAACCTGCAAAAACCGGAAAAACCGGTTACTTATCAAGTCTCTCGGTCCTCAAAGCAAATGCTTACTAGTTTCAATGTTTCATAATTTTTCAATTTATTATTTACCAATGGCTTATAAGCTGGTGATAACCAGAATCATTAACCGCCGCGTAAGCCTTAGCAAGTTGCCAAACCGATCCCTTGACGCCTTTCTCTGCTGGTGTGAAAACTTTGCTGACCGATCCGTGTGATTCGCCTTGTGCGTGTGGAAGGCTCAGCTCTATGGCTAGAGGCTTTAGTGTTCCGTCTTCTTGAAGCAACAGAAGGGTTCGGGTCGCATAGGTTTTAGTGTTTGTTGAGTTTATCCTTGTCAAGTAAGGCATCAATGCGTCGTGGTGATCCAATATGTATAGCTTGTTCTGTTCCAAAGCCTTTTTATATAGTAACACAAAACAAAACAAAAACAAATAGCAGTTAAATACAGTGGCTATGATATGGCGATGAAGCTGTTACTTGTTAAAGAAGAAAACTATATTCTTACTTCTTGGACACTGAGACCGTTCATGTACGGTGCAATGTGCTCTTCTTGTATGGAACTGTGTTGGTTCCCATACTTTGCAGAGTCCAAATTACTCTTCGGAGGAAATTTCTGCAATTTTTGTTGTTCTTGTAAAATATAGAAGCATATAACAATTTTGAACTGTTGAAAGAAAAAAAATGAATGATTTGATGAAAATTAATAAACCTCGAGCCGACTAATCACCACCGGATTGAGTCCAGCCAACATTTCTCTGGCAAACTCTTCATCTGTCCTCCAAGCTGATCTACTCTCTGAAAAAATACACAATCATCTATGTCAAAATTAATCTAGCTAAATGTTTGTTCCTCTAACTGTTTAAGTTAGACTATTTAGGTTACCTTTGAGGACGTCAGGTAAAGGAAACTTCAAGAACCGTTCACCGTCATTGCGAATGAGCTCTCTGAACATCTCCCACGGGATAACATCACGGAGCTTAGAAATGGTGTGACCATTGGCGAGCTTAAGACTACCATCGTAGAGATGGAAAACGTCTTCAAACGAGTCAAACTCGTTAATGGTCTTATCGCAAAGAGAAGCTATCTCAGGGACAAGCACTTGAGTCACCGACTTGAGCGCGTAAGCTAGGAAGTCAGAGAACTTCACATGACTAAACCGCTCGTCCCTCGGCACGTATATGTTCAGGTTTAGTAATGCCAGTCTACTCTCTGACTTAGGGTCTGATATTAAAAAAAAGGTAACGTATAGGTCAAGTAACCATTAAGTTTTGTAATGTACTGTGTGATTTTGAATGTTGAGTTGACTAACCGGATTTGGTGGGTCTACGGCCGGTTTTTCCGCGGCGGGGATAAGGGAGATCTGGTGAACCGCCGAGAACCGGACGGGCTGAGTCAGGACCTTTGTCGGGAGCACCTAAGTCGTTGTAATAAGCGTAGTCGTAAACTCTGTCCCATTCTCTGAGTTCTCCTCCTTTCTCATTGCCTCTTAGATTCTTTAGCTCTTCTTCTCTTAGCTCTTTGACTAGCTCCGGTGTTTCACTTGGAAGATATGCCTTTTTAATATAAAAAAATTTGTAAAAATGATAAAGTTAGTTAAAGATCACCATTTGTATACAATAATCAAGGGTTGTAATCCGGATTAAGTATTAAAAAAAAAAGTAAAAAATTCCAAGGCATATATGCTTTTAGAGTTTTAAGTTTGATAGACTGTCCCACCTAATCTTTTATAGCTGGACCTTATCAAGTTATAAAAGATTCTATTTTCTTAAAGAAATTATGAATCTAAAAGAAGAGATGACTTGTAAAGATAGTAATTAAGGTCGGTTTCATTATGAATATCACACGTACACGAATATTCCAAAACCTCTCTATTCAACCACAAATAAGGGTCTGACTGGTTTAACCGCTGCGGTTGCGGTTGCGGGAGTTTGCGGCTGCGGGAGTTTGCGGAAGCGGGAGTTTGCGATTAAAAGCTGTTTGTACGACTGGTATAGCAATTCATAGCGGTTGCGTTTGCGGGATATTTTTGACTGGTTAGCCAGCGGGTGCAAGAGCGGTTTAACCAAAAGTTACTAAAATAAAAATAATATATAATTATTCAAAACATTTATAACCATATTAATAATTTTTTTTTTGAAATATATTTTTTGATGAATTTTTAATTTGAAAACTACCCTTTTTTTTGGTTTTGAAAAATACACTTTTTATATGTAAAATGATTATTCCTAATTTAATAAAAACGAAATTCAAATAAGAAATATAAAATATTAATATTTGATAATAATTTTGTATCATTTTAACATCCTAATTACCTGTTTAGTTTTTTTTTAAACAATTTAATAAAAATATAAGATTGTTTATATAAAGTTTAAATGGGGTGAGATTAAAGTTGTTTATGCAAAGTTTCAAAAATATTTAAATTTTTCAAAAGATAAACATTAAAAATGAAAGATATATTTCTCCACTTTTAAATTTTTAATAATTTATAAACTTTAAATATATGTAAAGTTTTAATTTATTTAAAGTTTCATTTGGTTTGAATGTGTATGAGGTTAAGTTGTTTATATAAAGATCCAAAATATTAAAATTTGTTTCAGTTTAACATATACTATATTTATTTGAAAAAAAACTTATTAGTTTATTTTTTTTTAATTTTCGTTTATAATTTGTATTATTTTTTTGTTTAAATCACGTCAAAACATACTTTTTACATTTTAAAAGTGTATTTTTCAAAACAGAAAAAATTTAGGGTATTTTCGAAATTTTTAAACATAATTATGGTATTTTTCAAAAAAATATACCCTTATTCCAAATTTGGAGATATTATGTTTTTTTTTTTTTTTTTTCAAACCGCAACCGCCCGCAACCGCAAACGCTTGCGGAAAGGAGCTTTTGATTTTCAGCGATATAGAGCGGTACAGAGTGGTATAGAGCGGTTGAAAGCGGTTGTCGTGATTGTTATAAAACGCTAAGAACCGCTACGAACCGCAAACGCTGCGTTTGCGGGTGGTAGCGGGAGAACCAATCATCACCTAAAGAGAACCAATCATCACCTTTACCTATCCACACAATAAACAAACAAAAAAACTAGATCCTCAAAATGAATAAAATTTTAAAATTGATGATGACCACTTGGAGTCAAAGACTATTTTTGACAACTTTTGCACATGGACAATCTGAGCAAAACTAGATTAGTTAAAAATAAATTATAAAATGCCAAGGAACTAATATTAAAACCATTAATTACTATCTCGGTCAAATCAGTGCGTTACGTTACGTTACGTTATTAGTTTATTCACCGCGTTTTACCTTGTTCGAGAAGAAAACGCGGTCGGAGCTGTATCGATGGTTCGGATAGATCCAAGAATTGCAAACGAAGTGTATTGGACCGCCTTCACCGCCGGGGAAGTTGCGAAGAGTGAGGCTTTTCAGGTAGAACTGGCTATGGTGATGGTTCTTGATCACAAACGCAGCCGGTGGTCCCATTGACTCGTCCCAATCAAACGTCACTCCAAACGCGGTTTCCTCTGCGGTTACTGACGTTTTTATTTTTGTCACCCATTTCTCCAGATACGCTGCTTTCCCAAGTCTTCCTCTCTTCTCATTGGCTGATCATATATTACACACACAAAAAAAACATTACTTTCTTTAAAAATAAAACACAAAAGATTTGGCTTTGGATAAAGTTGGTCGTCACATTCTCATGGTCCATTCAAAAGCAACACTGATTCTATTACAGCGACTAAATAGTCTTATTTGATTAAAATTAGTCCAAGGCATAAGACTTGAAAATCGAGTTTGATCTTTAAAAAAACACAGAGTAATTAATCCTCTGTTTCATGAATCGGACCAACATTTTAAAAGATGTAAACTTTAGTGATAAAATCAAATTTCAAGAAAATAAAAAAGGGAACTTTAAGATGGATCTGATGAAAATGTAAAACGGGTCGGGTAAAAAGAATGAATACCCGGGTCGGGTTGGAGGGAGCTGATGAGGTGAAGAGAGACACGACGACCGAGAAGCTCGTGGATACGATCAAGAAGAGAAGCCATGGCGTCTTTGAAATCAAGAACGTTCTTCTTCATAATAACAACTTCTCCTTCTATCTTCATCGTCTTCTTTTTCTTCTTCATATCTTGCTCCATTGTCTTCTTCTTCTTCTTGGTCTTGGGCTTGACGCATAGGATCTCTGCGATGTCGGTGTGGATCATGGCGATATATATAGCAAGAATTTTCTCTGAGTGAGGATGAAGAAAAGGGGAGAGAATCTGTGTGTGCTTGGTGAATGAAGAGAGAAGATGTGTGATTATAGAATGTTCTTTTAGTATGCCATATGTAACACAAATCTGATGAGTGATATACTTTGCCTTTATATTGGATCTAAACAGAAGCAGTGTTTTTCATTTTTTCCATATTAAATCTTTTTTTAATAGATTTGGTAAAACAAAAATCCAAAATGACACCAAGTAGTAGATATTTAAAATGAATATTCTCACCCATGTTTATTTGGATCATGGTTATTATTTAGAAAAATAAATATTTGAAACTGAAACATAAATTTTAAATTTATTTTTTAAAGACAGCTGATAGTAACATGTTATTTAATATTTATCAGATTTTTTTTAAGGAATTGGTCTTTAGATCAAGACGTCCAGCTTTTCATGAACTGGTTGCAAACTTGCAATAAGTGAATTTGAAAGTTATTTTAAAACAGTTTGTAGATTTCATCTAATTTCCCAGGTATTATTAATGAATTCATATAAAACGTTTTATGGTATATCATTAATGATAAAGCATATATTTTAACGTGAATAAAAATACAATAAAATTTCAACATGATAAAAGTTCTGAAGGCAACATCAATTATTGAATGCGTACCATACATATAACAATGATCATGATGTCAAGAAAGAAAATATAACATACATCATTTGGAGCAACATGATCTGTACGGTGCGTAAATTACTTGGCATTTGGCAATTTCCTCTCCTTTTCGTATCAACAAAGTTTTGCACAGTTATAAAGAAAATTAAAATTATTCTTTTTTTTATATATATATATATATATATAAATATAGGTACTTACCTGTGAAGATTGAATGTCCTTTTCCTAAGTCAAGCTATTTTATTTTATTTTCTTTATCAAATTGACTTTTCTACCTACTTTTCTATAAAACGATGTGATGATAAACTTTTATATTTGGGGGTGAGCGTGGCAGAAAATGAAATAGCCATCTTGACATCAAGAAAATGAAAATGAAATCTTCTCTAACATGATCGTAATATATAAGATTAAATTTAATCATGACATCAACGATATTGGATTCTTGATCAGTACTGATTCATTATTGTTCAATAATCTAGTTATCTATGCTGATTAATATAAAACTATCGTTAGAAGCTGACTAAACAGTGTGCTTTATTCATATATATAAATGAGGACATTTTCATATTCTTTTTTTGGCAACAGGCACCATTTGCTAATAATATAGAGCTACGAAATTGACACATGAATAGCTGACCATTCTACTCGTAGCCATCATGAATCAACTATGAACAAACTTTCTATTTTAGTTTCAATAGATGAATAATTGAGTATATACATAAATATATATATATATATATATATAGTATACGCGTACTACTGTCTATTGTCTTGTATACGAATTAAAAAAAATGTATAGACCATATCTCTTTCTTTTGCTTTTACGTGTACTTTTCTTCTGTTTTGTATCTAAATAATTCACTAATCAAAAATGCACATAACCTCTGAAACCCAAAGCAACAATAAAAATAACTTCATTAGCCATCAGCGAAACATCTTCAATCACTTCATATCAAGCCGTGGAAGAAAAACCAAAAGTAGCTGCTTGAAATTGTCGTTGGATAACTGCTTACATCTGCTAGGATTGATCCTCAGGAAGAAAACGACTTTTTCGTTCTCTTATCAATGTATTAATACAAAGTTACAAACGTATTCATAATATCAGCAAACACTAACTTTGAAAGAAAGAGGATTCAACATGGTAATAAAAAAAAAAATCAATTCATACAAGGGTAAAAAGAAATTGCACGTCGATGACAAAAGCCCCGTGTCTACAGAACCATAAGAAGAAGATTACAAGGAAATATAATCAATCGAGAGAGACCTGACTAAAGAATTTGAATTTAAAATTGCTATTTATATATCCCAAAAAGAATAAAATAAACGTTCTGAAACTTGTTTCAAAATATATCATCAAAAATTTATTTGATTCTTCGAAATAGCTTTATCTTCGTTGATCTCCATAATCTTCCAAAAGATATCGAATAAATTGTTAAACCATATGTTCTTAAACACTCTACAAATATTCAAAATCAAAATCTCTAGTTTATTTCGAAGACAAACTTGGTAGTCTGTACTGAATTAGTCTACAGAGACGATTTATTTTTTTATTTTCATTATTTACGTAAACCAACTTATTCAAATACCATCATCATACAAAACATCAGTGTATATAGTTACAACTGTCATTTAAATACATTGAACTAGATTACCCATTGCATTACCAGTATTCAAACATACCAACGCCATTAGAACAAGCTATTAGTTATTCTTGTAAAATTAGAAGCAGATGAATATGTGATTAGGAAAAGTAAGAAATAGCTAGATTAGGAAGAGTGGAGATATAAACCATCGTCCAAAACATGTTTTTGACCTCCTTTTCAACTGGAGATGCTCTTCTTTTGCGTGTTAACCTTATTAGGAATCAAGACACGCACACACGTTTGAAAAGTCCAATATACAAACCAAGAAAATCCTATCTTTGCTGCCAAAAATAGAAAACAAATAGTAATGGTTAACAACACTGAAAAGACACGAAAGGAATATTGGCATAATTTTAATTTTAGGTACTAGCTCTTCATTGCATTGATATTAAATGAAGTATTCTTTCTTGCTGCCCAGGAAATAAATTAAAATTCAAGTGAAATGTGGATCACATGCGACTTGACAAGGACTTGTTGTTTGGAATTAGTAATTAGTTTATCAGTTATTTAGAATTCATAACTTGCAAAACATATGTTATCTATCGCTAAACATTTCTTACCTTAACGACTTTTTCTTTGGAAAATTTTATGGGGTTAATTAGATGACATACAAAACTACTGTGTAGATGGATTCCAGATTTTATCTCAAAAAGCAGGTGCGTTTACACTTCAACTGTGTAGATGGATTCCAGATTTTATTTACCTTCAATTGAGGCCTAGCCTAACTAAAACTCACATTTAGGTCATGTTTCAAGCACTACAGCTTCAAAAGCTGATAGATTTGGGCTTTAATAATATCGATGGGCCCATTTTTTGGACCAAGAAAGGAAAATCTAAAGAAAGATTAATGTACGTACACTATCATGTTCTTGACTTTTGAAACATGACCTAAAATCTGATAGATCATTTTTCATTAGATCAAAGAGAAAACTTTCAATATTCAAATTAATTTGTCCACTTGTTTGCCATCTCTACACATGTTGCTGATACGCCATTGGCCTCGTCTATGTCAACTTTCAAGAAAACGACTCTCGGGTGCTGCGTGGCCAGGTTTGAGTATAGAGGTACATGTAACGGCACGGTCCAACACCATGTGATTGTGAAGTACTATCTCAGTTTTTTCGGCTTTTTCTTAAACAATGTGTGGTTTTAGACAAAGAAACTCTATAGATGCGATCACTAAAGCAGGTGTAATTTGATACAGTAGTAAATATAACCTTGGAGATTAGGGAATACATGTGGGACAATGGCACATGTCTTACTTCCACAAAAACAAAATTGTCTCTTCTTAAAACCGGGTGGAAAATAATTCAAAATAAATCATGTTACTGTGATTTGTGAAAGATAGTAAAATAAGAGCATTGTCCTTTTTTTTATTTAACATGCTAGATTGCTAGTAGTCTTAGGAAAAGAAAAATGAAAACGTTAGTATATGGAAAATTCAAAACTTCAACGTACCTACCATTACATTTTGTAACAAGCAATGAAATAAATTTCCACCAAATAATCGTTTTTTTGTGGTAGGAAAAAATGATAATATTATCTTGCCTTATTGTGGAGGCTGCTACTGCCGTTGGCATTGATTTAAGATATTTTTTATTTGGAGATATTTTGTGATAAAATATAAACGAAAATATAGGTATATTCGGTATACTGTAACTGGGCCAGAAAACACGAGACAAAAATATTACTTAAAGTCTGAGCCCACAAAGTTTAATAGTGGACCACTGGCTCATTTGGAGTTTGTCAAGTGGACCCCTAACATTTTGTAGATTTCGAAGTTGAACCCCATACGTTTTAATTATTACCTTACGGGACCCACACTTTTGATTTCGTGGATCCTTCTCGGGTCCAAAATAAATTAAAGGAGAAAACAGTAAGGATCAACAGAAAAAAGGATAGAGAAAGAAAAGTAAAGGAGAAAAAGGGTAAGTTGTAAACTTTGACTATTGGAGTAATGAGAGCAAGATAATCCAAATTATTGAGATAGTTAAGGGGAAAAGTAAATGATTGGTTGCGTTAGACATATCGAATAATTATATCTAGGTTTAACTTCATGATTCATGATATAGACAGATTCCTTTCCACTCATTTTAGTTGAAAAAAAAAACAAACATAATTTGTATTTTATACGAATTTACGTTGATGTCAATTATATTTTGATTTAATATAAATTTAAAATCAGCACATGACACAAAAATAAAAATACTCAATTACTAGTTTCTATTCGGCACTTTTACAATATATTTATTTTTAAATCAGGCAACGTTACATCGTACAACACCGTAAGAAATGAAAATCCCAAATGTTGCTGTCTTTTTGCTTTGACTAAATTCCCACGCCTCTTCATCAAACTTGCCTAATTCTAATACCACTTCCTCAAAACTCCAAAATCTTTCATTATGAGTGGTAGATTTCCATCCACCGGCAATTTTTGTTTTCAAAGAAACGGACAAAAGACATTTGCATAGAAAAGAACGACAAAAAACTACTGAAAAAAGAAAAAAAAGGCAGACAGAGAAATGGTAAAAAAAAAAAAAAAAGTTAGAGGTGCTAATTTGGCAAAGGATGTACGTTTTCTAGAAAGTTTGCACGCGTGTGGCCTTTTACTTCCACACCATCTCCATCTGTAAGGAAATTCATTCAATTTTCTGACCAAAAAATCATAAATAGAAACGAATAATAGATTCCATCATACTATTTCATTCATGCTCCATATAAATTCCACTAAACAAACACTAACAGAACAGGCCAACACAAGAACAATATCAGTATACGTTCGCTGGCTCTTGTTATTTTTGTTTCCACAACACTCAAACCTCCTCAAGAAAAATGAATAAATCTTTTAAAAATTAGAACTTCGGTGGTTTTCCCTTTTTTTTTTTTTTTGGGTGGAACTGAAACACAGAAGGGTTCCTGTCAGAATAAATATAAACACTAATTGTACACAAAATGCTTTTTAAAGCACTTTCCCAACTCCAAAAAAATGTGTCATCCCTTGATAGTGCTCTGTTCCTTTCTTCCGACTCCACCTAAGTCTCTGTCTCTTTCGTCTCGCCAGCACAAGCTATAAACCGGAACTTCCTAAACCATTCAGAGTCTTTTCTTTTTTCTTTGAGTTAACAAAAATGGTTTTTTTAGGATCTTTCACTCACCCGCTTGTTGCTTCTGATCTACAGGTTTAACCTGAACCGCGTGAACATACGGGAACCCTGGAGGCACCAGCTGGTGTTGCTGCGTCTTCCCCATACCTCCTCCTCCTTTCATGTTATTAGCAGCCGCTGCAGCAGCGGCTATGGCTTTCGCTGGATCTGAAGTGGCGGTGACAGCTCCAGTGACTGGAGGACTAGCAGCTGCGGAACCCGGTTGTTGCTGATGTCTCTGAATGTAGTAACCACCGGAAGGAGAGATAGTGATCTGCTGCGGTGGATGTTGTTGATGCTGAGATTGCATGTAAGGATTTGAAAAGAAAAGCTGGGCTTGCGGTTGCAATCCATGCTTTGGCATCTGTTGCTGTTGCTGTTGTTGGGACTTGGATCCGGAGCTTGCAGTGGGGTTTCCGAGAACAGAAGGACCGTTGTTCCTTCCACCACCGGAAGAAGCTGCGGATGCAGACTGCTGTACGTTCTTTGACGGCTGAGACGATGAGTGGGTAGTAGAGGAAGCTTGTCCAGCTTTGTTCCCCGCTGACGAAGCGGTAGCAGTTGTTCTTGGGCTTCCGCCGGCGTTTTTGGAGACAGAAGACGTAGAAGGCGACCCAACTAACATCGGTGGAGATGGAGCCTGGTTATTGCTACCTCCTTGCACCTGCTGCACTGGTGAACCGGAAGCCATGGGTTTTGAGTTCGCTGCAAATGATATCTGCGATTGCTGGGGACGGTTTTGCTGTTTATGCGATACGTTTCTCAGGGACGATGCAGCGGCAACAGATGATGATGACGGCGACAGCATGGAAGGAGACTGAGCTTGGGAAGTGTTTGTTGTCCTCGGTGAATTTTTATTCCACTGAGGAGACTGCACCTGACCGCTGCTTGACTGGACAAGGTTTTGAGGGAACCCGGAATTGGCATTTGGAAACTTGGCGGTTCCGGCGGGTGATACGGTGATGTTGTGATCAGCGAAACCACTCCCATTACTCGCCACTGGCCCTTTGGTTCTAGCAGCAGAAGCAGCGACTGAAGTTGCATAGCGTTGCTGCTTCTGGAGATACATGGTTGTATAAGGTTGCTGTGACTGACTCCGTTGCATGTGCTGTTGCTGTTGTTGTTGCATATGCTGCTGCTGCTGTTGCTGTTGCATATGTTGCTGCTGCTGCTGTTGCTGTTGTTGCTGATGATGGTGAGACGTCGGCATAGAACCGGAACTCTGTGGCATAGCAGAACCAAGGTTGAGCAAGCGGGATGTATCAACGATGCTACCACTCGTTACAGCAGAAACAGATGCATCAGCCAAGTCGTGTTTGTTAGAGAAAGCAATAGACTGCCCAGCATTAGCACCACTCGTTTTCCCTGTTGCTCCTCCTCCCGACTTTCTTTGTTCTTCCACAGAAACAGCATTAGACCCAGACTTTCCATCATCTGATGGAGCACTGTAGTTCATTTTCTGTTGGGCTGCTTGAGCAGCAACATTCGCAGCCATCATTTGATAACCTTGCCTAGCTGCTTCGGGAATGCTGTGGAACATGGCGTGATTCTGAGCAATCGATGACATGTTCAGGGAAGGAGCAGCGTTAGCCCCGTTGAACGTCGCAAAGGTCATAGCATAACCCTGGTTTTGAAAAGATTCCACACCAGCCTTTGGAACCTGCTGCTGTGATTTCTTTTCACCATGATTGCTTGAAGATACGACCACTCCACCACCTGGGGCAGCTGAGCTCATCAAACCCAAGTTGGTTGGCTGCATCTGCATGCCATAGTTCTGGCCATAGCCAACATTGGAACGAGAACCCCGGCTATCTGCTGTTGACGGGCTCTCCTCTCCCACAGTTTCGCTGTGTTGAGTCGCATTTTCTCTAGGTTGCTGCCTCTGCTGGAAACTCAACGGCTGAGATTGGACTTTATGAGTTGGAAAGCCTTGGGAATTCCCGTGGCTTATCGGTGGCCTCAGCTGTTGGTTCTGCTGCAGATGCTTCTGAGCTGGCGAGGAGCCAGTGGAAACACTTCCATTCTGGTTGTTTGGACCAT